TTTATATCAAATACTGACAGGGCAGGTACTATAGAAATCTGCATCACTGGGCAAGCAAAATAAATATTATTATTGAGCCCTGACAATCAATTGGTCCACCTAATCTTAACTTAATCTTTTTTTTTTTTTGTACCTGTACTCCATCCGCTGTCTTGGAGTAGGTCCGTGCTGCAAACTGGCAGTCCTCTGAGTGGATGGGGAGCAGTGCAGGAGCAGGGGGCAGCAATTCCAAGTCCCCCTGACTCATGTTCCCTTCAGGAAACATTTTCCCATCTTTCACAGTTTCCCTCAGGTTAATTACGGAGTCCCTGATGTTGCCAATGATCTCATTGTTCTCTGCAAGTAGTCTTTCTAAGTGGTCTATTTTGTCCTGCAGAATACCAAGCTGACCCTGTAGAATACAGAAAAACAGAGAAACACTTAACACTGGTCAAACTCACATACTCCTTCAGCACAAAATTCAGACAATGACATAAATGAATGCATTACTGCATAACTAAGCGAAACTGAATATAGCACATCTCAGACTTTGGTTACAAGACTTATGGATTTAGAAAATATATTTTAACATCCAAAGTAATTTAATGCAGCATCTGGCCGGCAACTTTTCCAGATCAGGCACAAGCACGGTGTCTATGAAAATGGTAGAGACTAAAATGTACAACATTAATTTCGAATTCTCCCACTATGGCTCTCAAATGTCATTCAAAAGAGGTGTTTGAATATTTGTCACGCCAGATTATAGCACATCAATGTCAAAGCACATCAGTGCTAAACCTTGTAAAACTCTCAGGAGATTCATTGCTGCTGCCAGAGTATTAAGCTTAGGTTTAGTCTACTGGATTTCAAATAAACAGTGTATGTAAGACACATGTGAATCCTGTAGGACTTGTTACTGAATTTAGGGTAAGCCTAAATTCACTAAACATCACTGTTTTTATGGGCTGTCAATCTTAACGCTCTGTACACATCAGAAATGTGACAGTTTTCCAATATAACAGGTTTCTGTTTCTGAAAAAAATTCAGAATTCAGACCTGACTCCCTTTCGATTCATGAGCTCATCTGAACTGGCCACACCATCAGGAAGCTTTACTGGAAAACAAATCACTTACAGTAGCCTACATTTGAGTAATGACAGTGTATTTGAATCTGTTTTTAATCGCACATTTTAACAGTATTAAGTGGAAACCGTGAGGGAAAATAGCAAGAATTATGTATGTCTCAAAGTTGAGATGCGTCAAAGCTGTTTGCGCATTTTCAGCTCTGCTTCTACTGACTCTCCAGTGTGTCACAGCAAAACAAATGATATTTTATTAGCTTACAGTCTGAATAGAATGAGATGGAATAAAAAGACTATGAAATGTTGCCAAAACGTCTCTGTTGAGCTGACCTCGCAAGCTGCATGCAAAAGCAAACGTACAGCGCGAACAATGTAGTCTGATTCACGAGCAAATGACTCTTATGAGTCGATTCAATTAATGAATCGTAAAAAATACAATCGTATGATTTCGGTTTAAATCAGTCTGACATCACGAATACTCAACAAAACGTTTTTCTTTCAGTCATATCAGACTCGAATTTAACAACTGTGTTGGCTACTTAAGGTGCATGAAATATCGTTGTTCTTAAGGTATTGCTGAGGATACATTTTTGCGCCTTTTGTAATGATACCTTAACCTCAACCATAAAAATACAATATTCATTGGACCATTCATTGGAATCTGAATGCAAAGACAGAATTCAGTGGGAATCACACTGTGCTGTCTTTGTAGGCAGTTCGCTGGGATTTTGAAACACAACCTATGAACGCTGGGGACTGCTGGTCAATGACCTTTGAGATCAGTTCACTGTCCGAAGCTTAACACAATCTTTCTTTTAATTCGCTTTCTTAATTGCTTAGAACAGTATCACAATAAGTTATTCAATAAAAACACACGATAAAGTATTTAAGAAACAGGAAATGTCTTAGCCTACTGTTCACAGCCATCTTTGTGTCAGTGTATTATTGTAACAGCATAATGTCACTTGGAAGGAAGCAAACTATCAATTCAAACTACTGTCTTTTATCAACCACATCAGCATCGAGTTAATATTACCCTGTAAGTTCACGGACCAGCAGTCTGAACACAGAAAACACACATCTGCTGACAACACTCTTCATATAACACAATTTATTGATAAGCGTAAGACAGCTACTTACATTTTGAATTCTCTCTCCATTTGGATTTTTGCTATGATCTATGTGATCCAACATCAGGTACAAGGAAAATACCACAACACAGAATATGGCACTGCCAAAAACTGTGAACTGTCTGCTGAGCTTCATTTCTCAGATGAGTCCTTTACATTCACACGAAAGGCAAACTTTTAAAAGCGTGCGGCTCGCGAGCGGTGGTCCCGTAGGTGACAGAAGGCAGTAGTGAAAAAGAAAGGTGTTTTCGCCATGAAGAGTTGTGCGGAAGGGGACACCTTCTTTAGCTGACGGCGGGGAAATGTCGCGCTGTGTACCCACGGACTGAAATCCACTGCGATCTGTCTTCAAAGTTTTGACGATGCGGTAGAGTTTGTGTGATTCAGCAAATTGTGATGGTCAAACAGGCAAATGAAAAGCGCCAACCCTGCCCCCTTCCTGCGCTTACTGGGCTACAGACAGAGAAAAAGTGAGCGTGGAGTTGCGCCGCCTAACGAGTGAACACATCACTCACACTCTCTCTCACACACACACACACACACACACCCAGAGTCTGATCAGCTATCCTTGTGGGGACTCTCCATAGGCGTAATGCTTTTTCTACTGTACAGACCGTATATTATATTGCCCTACACCAACCTTACCCCTAAACCTATGGGGTTCCATTTGTGTCAAAAATGAGTCGACTGCTTTGTGTTTTGTACTATACATTTGTCTTTGTCTACAGTCATTGCCTACTTGTTCAGGTAAATCAGTATATGTAGGCATGTATGTTGTGTGTTGACGTCTCTGCATTTTTAGATTTTCAAAAAACTTAATTCTGTATGATTTATAAGCTTTTGTATCCGTGGGGGCCACAATTTAGGTCCCCACCGTGACACGAGTCCCCATGAGTCTGTGTGTAGTCAGGTTTAAGTCCCCACCAGGATATATAAACCAGTACACACACACACACACTCACACAATCAAGTGAGCCCATACATTTGAGTCAATTTACTGTTGAGGCTGTCTTTATCTGTGGCGTCCCAGAGATCTAAAATAACCCCCCAAAAACATTTGGCATACACTGATTATTAATAGCCTGCCCTGTAACATATAGAAATGTAAAAATATGGAATTTATAACTAAATGTTTGTCCAGTGTTATTGTGTTAGGCCTATATTTTATATAAACGTGTTATATATTATATTTCAAAATATATTCAGTATATTGAGATTTAAAATAAATCTGAATGAATGCAAAACACTACAAGCAAAGCCATTTTTTTCAGGCACTGGTCAATTTTGAGATTTTGAGTTATTTTGTAACTTGTAGTCTTTGAAACTAGTGGGAAGAAAACACCCCAAATACACATTTAAGGGTTTATTGTCTTACATTTCATCTGTTTGCTTGTGTACATTTCAATTAAAATACATATCTTTGAAGACCATTTTCTCAAAATTAGTTTTTTCTCATGCACTGAACAAGAAATCTGCATTTCAGTAGTGCTTACATACACCAAACTTTCTATTCTTTTTCATTCTTTTCTATTCTCTGAATGTTTATACAGAATGGTTTGTTCATATAACGTCCACCTATTTTGTATAACATCTTATATAAAACATGGTGATTTTTTTCTGGCCGTCTGACAGTATTCATGTAGATGATTTATGGAGTGGTATTTTATGATTTATGAAGAGATAAAGTGAGATATCCAAAATCCCCTCCTTAAAAACCCTTAACTCAATGTCAACAAAATGCTTGCTTTATCCAATGTTCAGATTTCTGTTCTGGACATTTATGCAATATGTAGTGCATATTTAATTAGATATGCCTCATTTGTATATTTCAACATAACATTTCTGAAAACTTATAATACAAAAAAATGGTCTTAATGTACTGTGCTGTGATCTTTTCTAATGCTGTTTAGCCTACTTAGTGTCTTGCCTTAATAAATTATTAGCTAATTAATGAATTGATTAATCAAGTGAAATTATGTTTGTGTTGTACGTTTCCTCCAATTATTAGGTTTATGTCTGTTTGGCAGTGCTGACTTACGAATGAATGAATGAATTAATTCATAATTTCCTGGTCTACACACATTCACTTAATATTTTATGAAGCACCTAGCAATTGCATCATTGGAAATCAATTCTTTTTCAGTTTCACACAATTAATCCAACCTGAACTTGCATTATTCCAATGTGTCACCCTATTTGATCCTATCCTACCCTGACTAGATATGCCTCATTTGTATATTTCAACATAACATTTCTGAAAACTTATAATACAAAAAAATGGTCTTAATGTACTGTGCTGTGATCTTTTCTAATGCTGTTTAGCCTACTTAGTGTCTTGCCTTAATAAATTATTAGCTAATTAATGAATTGATTAATCAAGTGAAATTATGTTTGTGTTGTACGTTTCCTCCAATTATTAGGTTTATGTCTGTTTGGCAGTGCTGACTTACGAATGAATGAATTAATTAATTCATAATTTCCTGGTCTACACACATTCACTTAATATTTTATGAAGCACCTAGCAATTGCATCATTGGAAATCAATTCTTTTTCAGTTTCACACAATTAATCCAACCTGAACTTGCATTATTCCAATGTGTCACCCTATTTGATCCCATCCTACCCTGACCTGTCCCGTCCTATAGCATAGCACTCCACCCCATCCCATCCCATCCCATCCCATCCTATCCCCGCCTGCTTTCTGTTTCCAAGTGGGCTTTAAATTGCACACGTGGTGTTGCTGTTGGTTTACAGCTGCCTAGCTGCACCCGATTATAATACGGCCAATGATACTCACATCTGATTGGCGGACATGTGTCACGTGACCCTTAAGTTTCGTGTTGACGTTCGCAATAGTTAGTTGTGATACAGAAGGCGTCCAGCAACACAGGTACTGTCCGTTAACAAACGACACATTTCCTAAACCAAAACGTCGTGGGAGTTTTCTGCGTGAAATTGGAGGAATGAAGGAGTCGGCAGACATTATAATCCACGCCCTAGAAGCAGCAGCGCCTGTCGACAAACATTAACGTTAGCTTGTTAGCTGCGCTCAACTTGTATCAGGGCCCGTATTCGACTGAATTGATCCTACTGATCATGTTAATCACGGGATTTGTCTGTTTCTTTGGATAAAAATCTGTTTTGAGGGCTGTATATTGCATTTATTGCAACGATTTATCTCCATGTAACGTGACAAGCGATAGCATATGTTAAGCACCTTTAGTGCGTATTGTTGACGGATGGAATGTGATGTGTTTGCTGCAAACCACATTGACAACAACAATAAGACAGTGATGGGTTATAATCAGGCTGTGCTAAAGCACTGTCGTGATGTTACTCTGATAAACATCAGTGTGAGCTGTCATAGGTTAGAAAGCTATCCTGGTCCTGGAGTAGCACTGCATTGCACGTTTGAGATATTCCCCGTGTTTAACACCCATGACTTATTAGTAGATGCTCCAACACCTGAACAGGATGTGTTTTATAAGGTATTGAACCAATATTTAAAAGATTGCTGCATCTTCTGCATCAAATGTGGAGAATCTTGGTTGGAACTGGTTAGAATTGAATCCTCTTTGTTTTAGGCCTTGCAATATAAAACCCTGTGTGTTAATTGATGCATAGGTGTCACACAGTATGTTTTCATTAAAAAAAATCTTTCTAGTGTTAATACAGTCAAGATTTATGAAAAGCCAAACTTGCAAGCAGTCAATTACCCTTTCAAGGCCTGTTCACACCAAGGACGATAGCTGTGGTTCTAACTGTAACGTTTTAATAATTGTTCTAATTCTTTGTGAATCGGGAACAGAGGAACAATATTGTTCTTTCAGCTATTTTTTTTCAGCTGATTGCTGATAAAAACATAAACGGGCAGTCTGAGTCTGATTTCAAAGAGCTTGAGCATTTAAAGTGGCAGATGACATAACTGACATACACTTATAAGAAACGGAACGATATCTTGCGTTGGTGTGGACGGCTATATAGTTATGGTTATCTTCATAGTTATTGTTCTTGGTGTGAATTTATGCTTCTGTTTCTCGTAGGAATGGGTCAAGAAGCAGGCAAGTCTGCATGGCCCAAACCAACAGGAGGATACCAGACCATCTCAGGCAGGAGGTACGGCCGGAGACACGCGTATATCAGTTTCCGGCCAGTTACAGATAAACAAAGAGTCGCATCCACTGTGGACTGTCGAAACATGGAGAGGACGAGAAGTCAAAAGGACCCGGCAGTGGGTACGTACCAGCTGGTGATGGAAACCCTCAGTGGATAATTAAACTAAAGAGTTACTCAGCATTTAAGCCCAAGTGTGTCGTTTTCTCAGCACAAATGAGGGAAAAAAACAGATTTGCAAAATTAATGACTGCTATTGGTTGAAAAACTGATCCCACTCCAAACTCAAGCCAAGCCATTGTCAATCCAAATAAACAGATACATTTTTTTTTAAAGATTATTCTGGAAATCAACTTAAATATGGCTTACTTATAGTTGTCACTGAATATTATATTCAAATATTATGTTAAAATTACAAACTTCAGCAAACAAATCCTGAGTAACTGGAAATCTGTGAGCAATAAAAGTGGAGGAATGGATTTTGAGATTTTGAGATTGAGGTTCTCGTGGTGAATAAACAGCTTTGTAATATTGGGAATGTAACAGGGATTTTGAAGAGCTGAAATATGCGTGTGTGTGGGTTGTTCTACTTTAAAGTGAAGCATTCATCACCTTTAAAAGGTGTAGACGGAAACCCTGTAGGAGACCATTTGACTTTATTATGCAAATATATACGAGAATGGTGAGGGTGGGTAGAAAGTAGTTTGAAATGGGTTTCGGTTTCTTATGTTTTTATAGGGTGACTGTCAGGAAATGCCCAGGTCATATTTCACCCCTAAAAACCAAATGAAAACAAAAAAATATATTTTTCTTTAAGAAAATTAAGCCTGTTGTCACGACCAGTAAGACTTTTTTTGCAACATAATTTTTTTTTTACAGCAATTAAGCACATGTTAAAGCATGTTCTAATTTTCTTACTCTAAACGGTCTCTTAATGTCCCTGAATTGATGATAAATTTCATTCTAGTTTACCTCATTGATAAAAATATATTTATTAAAATGTTTAATTATTAAATGAGATTTTTTCTTCGTAAAAATAAATTGTTTACATTGTGAAGTATAATTAAGTACGTAGCACAATAGTATTTATTGCACTGCCTTTAGTTTGTCATTTAAAAAAAAATTAAGTTAATTTTCAGGTCAAGGGGATTTTTATTATTTTATTACAATAATGAATGAGGTTTGGTTTATTACAGTAATGACAATTTTGGGGTAAACACAATTGTCATAAAAGAGACAATACAGAGAATCGAAATGTTTCTAAAATAGGTTTTATTTTTTGTGATGCAAAGAATAAATCTTCTTATATTCTTGTAAATTTGGAGGAAATGTAACCAAAACATTTCTTTGTCACACTCAGTCTATAGTGCATATACACTTACTTCCTATACAAAACAATGAAATAATATTCTGTGAAGGAGAATGAATAATAACGGAAACCTTTTTCTTCTAGCATCAAAGGGCAACATTTCTTCAGTGCTTCAGAATATCCTGCCGACAGCATGCACAAATGCAGTGCGCCCTGAGTTAAACGCAGCATCAAATCAGGAGGGCCACAGCAGGAGGCAGTCTTCATTGTGTAGAGTCACAAAAGCCCCCTTAAACCATTTCAAGAGACCAAAGAGTGACCAGGTTGTGCCATATGACAGAAAATATTATTCTGGCATAGAAAAAAGCGAACAGGCTAGAGTGTGGCCCATCAGTGATGACCCTAAGCCCAACCCGGAAGCTCTGAGTTACATCAACATTGACGCCTATGAGCCTGACAGCAGCGGGGCTGAGGAGGAGGACTCGAGTTTAAATCCATCTCCGGCTGCTCAGAAGAGACTTGATGGTATTTGTGAATTGGGTGGAAATTCGCTTGATCATCCTAATGTACCGATATTTTCAAAAATAAGGAAACATTCAGTGCAAATGGCACCTTCTAAAAGCGCGACAGACCTTTGCTGTGAGCAACCAGATTTTGAAAGAACTGTAAAAGCAAATAGGAAAGTTAGTCCGTTGTTGGTTGGTGAAGACCAAGCTCCAAAATGTCACGGGGTTACAGCCAGCTTTGTACCCGCTTCCTATAAAAGCACAGGAAAAACCAACCCCGAAGAAACATTTCAGTCCGAAATGGTCGTGAGGCCAAAGATCCGCAAACAGACGAGCGAGACTCACCTTGAAAGGAGGAAACGTTCAGAAAAAGAGGAAGTAAGCCATTTGTCAGGCGCAGCGGTCAGAGACAAGTGTGGCTCAGCACCTCCGGGTTTCCTCACACAAACAAGCCCTGAAAATGAGTCGCTCTTTGACTTTCCACCCATGGCCTTGAGTGACCTCAACTCTGAGGACAGAAAAAATGAGGGTGACGATAACGCCAAAGTAGATGAGGAGGAGGATGATGAGATCTGGGAAGATCTGGAGAAATTTGGAGAAAAATGTGACCCATCTACAAAGGGTGATGAGAGGTACAGTACTGCATGTATTTCCATTTAGTTTAATGAATTGTACAACTTTGTGCATGATAATTATGTATATAAAAATCCTGTATGTGCATTAATATATAGTAAGAGGATTCTCTGCATCAATGCCAGTGGTCAGTACAACACAGTTGGTGTGATGAGACTAAATTGATGTCATTACCTTTTTTACCTTCATGTTATTTATGTAGTAATGGAAGAAAATCTTTAGATGTTTTAAACTATCACACTATTGTTAAAAAAATGTAAGATATGTTTAATTCCTTTGAAAAAGGTATTTTATGCTCACCAAGGCTGCATTTCTGTAATAAAAAATTATTGCAAAAACTGTAATTTATTGCATTGAAATATATCTAGGTTCTATTTGAACATTTTAAAATTTTATTTATTCCTAAGATACAGAGCTAGATTTTTAGCAGCCATTACACCAGTCTTCAGTGTCACGTGATTCTTCAGAAATCAAGGTTTTACATTATTTAGATATTGCAGACTATGTGCATTCCCTTTCCTTATCACTTCTTGTCTATTTTTGTGGCTTTTTCCCTTTATTCATCTACCGAAATCAACCTAATCATACTCTGTTCATTTTAAAGCAGTAGATATGAACGTTCAGTGAGCTGCTTTGCTGATCACATTTTTGAGCATTATAGGAATGTATTGAGTTAACTAGGCTCACACATTCACATATGGCTCAAATAAGAAAGTTGTCTGGGTAGGCCACTTATCTGGACTTGATTAATAAATTGGCCATTAAGATGTTTTTTTTCCCATCATTTACTGATAAATGTGTCTGTCTACAGCAGTGACATGCTACTGCTATTATTCCAACATCTTTGGTCACTGGGGACAGAATGAAATGCAGTGCCAGATAAATTGAAATGTGTTAAGCATTTAATAATGTTAAAGTTTCCCTTTTTTCCGCTGTCTTGTGTTTGTGTGTGGTGTTCTTCAGGGAGCAGACCCCTCTGGAGGAGGGCGAGATCCCTTGGGTCATGTATAATGAGGACTCGGGCAGCAGCAGTGATGAAGACCCTGATGGTGTCAGTCAGTTTGTGCACCCTGGACTCTTTATCCTGGATGGCAACAATAACCTGGAGGATGATTCCAGCATGAGTGAAGACCTAGACACTGAATGGAGGTCAATAAACCTTATAGATAAAAAAAAAAAATTGGAACCTTTCACCAGTTATGCATTATGGTAATGAGAATTTGAAAGGGAAATGTGCTTGTCATAAAAATATATAACCGCCCTAAAAATAGACTTTATTCCTTTTATGTAAAAAAAATTATAAATCCAGATTTTTGGGTGAAACATGACATGTATTCATGAGATTTACCCCAAAGATGCATGCCTAAAATATGTAAAATGGTAATGAAATGTATTTACTATAATATATTACAAAAAGAAGTATTGATTGTGTCAGCTGCAACATGAAATGCTGACTAATAGAGAAAAGCTGTGTTTATAAGTCTTTTGTTTTTCAGGTTTCTGGATGAATTTGGCGATGGTTTTGGGATGGCTCAAGCAATCTCTTATGTGGATCATTCCCAGCTCCTTACATACATGGCGTTAGAGGAGCGTCTTGCTCAGGCTATGGAGGTGAGGGACCTCTGCACTGTTGCATAAACTTGGTTTGCACAACTTGTTGGTGGGGGTGGGGATTGATTGTATGGTTTTCTTTTTTTCTTTTTTTGATCACAATTTAAATTGAGTTTAGAAACATATATACAGTGGGTACGGAAAGTATTCAGACCCCCTTACATTTTTCACTCTTTGTTATATTGCAGCCATTTGCTAAAATCATTTAAGTAAATTTTTTTTCCTCATTAATGTACACACAGCACCCCATATTGACAGAAAAACACAGAATTGTTGACATTTTTGCAGATTTATTAAAAAAGAAAAACTGAAATATCACATTAGCAATTAGCGAAAATACTGAACTCGTAAGACATCATGACATTATCGAGTATATTGCAAAAACCAAACAAAACACACCTACAGAGTGCATGCATACGCGACGTGATGAAGTCTGGTTAGACTAAGTTTGTGCGCGTACGCAGAGTGCGTTCATTCACTGCATGATTTAGCCTATTAATATGCATTAAGAAGGATCACATAATTCAAGATAAGGGAGCAGAAAATGTATATATTTATATAAATTCATAGTTAATATCACACGAAGAGTATTATTATAATTGACTGATTAAATGTAAGAATTTGACTCAAAAGATGATGTACACTTTAAGAAAAAAATGGCTTTATAAAGGTACAAATGCCCATAAAAGGTAAAAATCTATTTGAACTTATTGGAAAAGATTCATTTCTATCACTGCTGTGAACTGACCACACAGAATATTAAGAATATCAAAAACTTTAGGAGTCAGCTGTCCACGGTAGTCCTTAAGACCGTTTGCAGCGGTCGCTTTGTCACGCCCAGTATAGACAGCCTCAAGCTGTTGGTTTATTTCTGTGTTTTTTCTTTTTCTTTTGGCTAGTAGAAGTTATGAATGGCCGGTAACTTAAAAATTTAGTAGCCAAATTGGCTGGTGAGTGAAAAAGTTAATTTCAATCCCTGTATGTATGTATATGTGTGTGTGTATATACACCAAGCTGGGTATAATAATATTTTAATAATTAAATAATAATATAATTATTATTATTATTTCTATTATAATTATTATTACTAAATAAAATATAAAAATCCTAAACAATCAAGAAATATTACAATTGTAGTATTTCACTGTAGTGTTAAAAAAAAAATTAAAATTACATTACTAAAATTTATGGCTGTTTTAATTTCTTTTATTTTCAAATGTAAAACTACAACAATTTTAAGGAGCCCATACATCTTGTGTTTTGTTTGTAAGTGCTTTTCATTCCAAGTGTGGGAAGATGGATGGTGTATGTTATAAGTGACCTAAACTCAAAGCAGATGCAGAGATGGAGAACACAGTGCCATACTTTACTCTAAAACACGCAGTGCATAAATATTTAAGTGAAATGCAGCCTTTGTCATTTGATAATTGCGCTAAGCCATATTACGATTACAGTTTTATTTCGATTGATTGTGCAGCTCTAGCATTAAGCATATATTAAAATGTTTACCAAACAGAGAAGTATTGTGAAGATAGTATTGTGGTATTGCGGTTTGAATCACTGTGCAGTCTAACTATATTAGGTTTTGATGTCACCAAGAGTCTTTGAGTCAGATGAGTATTTTTTTTTTAATAAAGAGTAGCTTCTTTTATACATCATCTGGACCAATTTTAATTAATGATTATGATTAAATTAAATGGAATCTCAAGATGCATTTAGTTTGATTATTGTTCATGTCTTAATGAGATGAAAGCATAGTAGTCTTGCATAATGTATGCTGCTTTTTCATTAACATATAAATATTGTGTTTGCATGAGCAGCTAAGTTATACAAATAAATGATCCATCTTAATTCAACCAAAAATACATTAAGAAATTGGACTCGGTTGCTGACTGATGTTGTTAAACCCCAACAAACTTAATTGATTTCAGCCAATGAGAGAGCACACTAGCAATGTAAGTTTTAATGTATAATTAACTTGCCTATCTTTATCCAGGGGAAATGAAATATGCTAATGTGTTTTGTTGTGTTGCAGGCAGCACTGGCTCATCTGGAGTCTTTGACTATAGATGTGGAGCAGGCTCATCCCCCCGCCACCGAACAAATCATCGACTGCTTACCCCAGGTCACCATCAATGCCGAAAACATTGGTACTACTTCCTTTACTTGTAGCTACATAAAGTGCACAAAATACAATGCTGCAGTCAGCAAGTGTCTTATAGTCTAGTGTAAGGTTTTTAATCCGTCTGTTCAAACAATATGCAAATTTGGACAGACTCAGTGTTTAGTAGAAGTTCAGTAAAAACCATAAGAAACGTTATTTGATGAAGCATTATTTTATGTGGTTTATGCATACTATATTATTTGATAAGTCTGGCATGTCACCAGAGAGACGTTGGTTGTTTCACTGGCAGACCAAGTTTTTGATTGACATTTTTTAAAAGAAATTACATGCTCAATCAAGCTTTAAAAAATGCATGGATGTATTGATTACTATAATATCAACAAACATACATTTGGAAAGTAGATGAACATTGGTACTACTTCCTTTACTTGTAGCTACATAAAGTGCACAAAATACAATGCTGCAGTCAGGAAGTGTCTTATAGTCTAGTGTAAGGTTTTTAATCCGTCTGTTCAAACAATATGCGAATTTGGACAGACTCAGTGTTTAGTAGAAGTTCAGTAAAAACCATAAGAAACGTTATTTGATGAAGCATTATTTTATGTGGTTTATGCATACTATATTATTTAAGTCTGGCATGTCACCAGAGAGACGTTGGTTGTTTCACTGGCAGACCAAGTTTTTGATTGACATTTTTAAAAGAAATTACATGCTCAATCAAGCTTTAAAAAATGCATGGATGTATTGATTACTATAATATCAACAAACATACATTTGGAAAGTAGATGAATTTTTATTTCAAGCAAACAAAAAAAACAAATAAATTCACAAATTGAAATTTTTTTTATTGCAATATGTTTGATATGTTACAGTAAAAACAGCATATTCAAAAGCATATTTATGTAGTGATCATCAAAGATATTGCATGATCGATTTTGGCGTTATGAGCATTGTCGAATGGGCAATTTTTGAATTTGAGGACATGAGTGGCTCTTAATTGACCCTTCGCAAAGTGATGTATGGACATAGCAAAGGCCACCCCCCTTAGTTACCTGCTGCCATCAGAGCAAGTGTAATTACTGCATTCACGCGCTCCTCGAATGCTCTCATTTCCCGAGTTGTGCCTTTAAGTCGGAATGTGAAAACAACATGGACACTCTCGAAACTACAAAGATGTGTTGGATTTGTATTATTAGACCTTTCCGACTTGAGTTCACTTGCATTTTCTCAGTCGGGATATTATTTTTCATGCGCAGTGCCGCGATTACGTTTCTTACGTCTGTTTCGAAGAACCAGAGGACAGATATTTCAATCAATCGTTCAGGCATGGCACTGAAATGAGGCACCAAAATCTGCGTTTGGATTCGGTTCTATTTGAATTTGAGGACATGAGTGGCTCTTAATTGACCCTTCGCAAAGTGATGTATGGACATAGCAAAGGCCACCCCCCTTAGTTACCTGCTGCCATCAGAGCAAGTGTAATTACTGCATTCACGCGCTCCTCGAATGCTCTCATTTCCCGAGTTGTGCCTTTAAGTCGGAATGTGAAAACAACATGGACACTCTCGAAACTACAAAGATGTGTTGGATTTGTATTATTAGACCTTTCCGACTTGAGTTCACTTGCATTTTCTCAGTCGGGATATTATTTTTCATGCGCAGTGCCGCGATTACGTTTCTTACGTCTGTTTCGAAGAACCAGAGGACAAATATTTCAATCAATCGCTCAGGCATGGCACTGAAATGAGGCACCAAAATCTGCGTTTGGATTCGGTTCTAGTACATACCGGTTACATTGGTACCGGTGCCATATTGGTACCGGGTTTCGGTACCCAACCCTATACACACCACTTTTCAAGTTTTAAGTTCACCGATGTTAATCTACTCACCTGTCTGGTTTGTTTGTCGGATTCGCTGGTTGGTCAGATCACCTGTCAATCAGACTCCGGGCAAAGGGTGAATTCCAACATGACATACAAGTGTTCATAACTGGTCATAACAGACATGAAAAGTTAGTAATACAGCAGTTGTACACTTTACTGTGTAACAGCAGACCGACAGACTCTGTGTGGTATATTACAGCCTCTATAGGAGTGTTACAAACAAGGTGTGTGTTTATGTGATTGTACTGTATTTATAATTTGCCTTCCTGTTTCTCACTGCTGCCCATGTGAAGTGTTATTCAGATGGGAAATTGTAGTGTGTATGAGACACACTGAGCCTGCGTCCCAATGTGCATACTATCTGCCCTAAATAGTATTGAAAATTACTAATATCACATAGAATTTAGGATGGCTACTAGTATGGGACGCAGGCTGGCAGACACCGAAACCCAAGCTCATCACCTCAAAATGATTAACTTGAAATACTTGGTCTACTCCTTTTTAGTGCAATATGAACACCAGATGAGAAATGTTTTTCACAAAACTCAACACACGGGATGAATGCCAGGAAAATCATGCTTTCACACTAATGTCCCACTTCAACTTTATTGCCTGAGTGCATTTGGGGTGATAAATCTGCATTGGAATGCATAAAATGACTAATGGCTAAAACGAATAATTTAATGTGTGCATGACTGGATCGAGACTTGTTTAAATATTTGGTTTGGTGTTATAGGTTCAAAGTTACATGCTTTCACATATACACTCTCTTTGGTTCTGCAGAGCAGGAGCAGTGCTGTGCCATCTGCTGTTGTGAATACGTCAAAGATGAGATTGCAACCCTGCTGCCGTGCCGCCACATGTTCCATAAACTCTGTGTCACTCTCTGGCTCAGAAAGGTAATGCTGTTTTTTCTTGGCGCTTGTGAAAGAGACAAATTAAATGGTTATTTCAGCCAAAACTTAACGTTCTGTCATCATTTACTCCCATTTTGATTCAGACTTGTATAATTTTTGTTTATCTTCAGAACATGAATAAAGAAACTCAATATTCTCTCATCCTTTTTGTGCATCCATTGAAAGTCCATGCAACCAAAACTTTCACGTGTTAAGTCCAAAAAGAATGTGTTACAGGGTAATTATACATTTAAGTACAGAGTAATTTTAAAGGGGTCCTATTATGCTTTTTCTCTTTTTCAACTTTAGTTAGTCTGTAATGTTGCTGTTTGAGCATAAAAAAGGTCTGCAATGTTACAAAGCTCAAAGTCCACTTCCCAAGACAGGCGAACTTAGAGTGGTTACAATCATCCGGGTTTAAATCGCGCTCAAATTGATTTGATATTGACGCAATATTTACACTGAAGCTTGCAGGTGGCTGTGGTAAGGGGCATGACATTTCCCCGACCAGGCGCCGAGTGCTGCCAATCACAACATGCTCTGACCCAGCTAACCAATCACAGCACATTTTGTATTTCAGAAGGCGGGCCTTCATTTGATTCAGGAACTATTCGAGCCGTTCATGCCAGACTGGGGAGAGAGGTGTTGTAACAATGTAAAATATGTGAAAAAATAATGAGTTTTTCGAACAACCTAGTATGAGAGCCTGTTCTAGTACACCCCCAAAACAAAATCAAGACTTTGTAAAAGAGCATAATAGGACCCCTTTAACTAACTACATGTACTTACTATATGGTTTGAGTCAGGATTAGGGTTTGGCTTATTTTAGGGTTACTTGCATGTAATTCTGCATAATGTATTGTTATTATAATAGTAAGTACATGTAACGTGTAACAAGGACGCAATAATCCAAAGAATGTATTGTAAAAGCAATCCATATGCATCCAAGTTTTGAATAGATATTTTCATTTTATATAATGAAGAGATTTAATTTCGGTATTTATAAAAAATTTCATATATATATATATATATATATATATATATAATTTCTTATTTTTATATCTACAGATAAATTGAGCTCATCAAATATGGTAAACTTGGAAGTCTTTTTTAACCCTCTTTTAGCGTAAAAAAAAAACTAATGTCAGAATTTATTAAAGACATGCGGGGGAAATTAGAAATAAAAAGGCAGACATAGTTATTTTGCAACTGACCATATTGCATATGCTTTTGTTGGAGTTTCCCTGTCAGGAGGTGAATATTTAAATTAATCACGCAAGCTGATGTACTAAGATTTACGGTAGTCAGTGTTACTGGCGTTTGCACCATAATTTAAAGGAATAGTTCACCCAAAAATGAAAATTAACCCCTTATTTACACACCCTCAAGCCATCCTAGGCGTATATGACTTCCTACTTTCAGATGAATCCAATCGGAGTTATATTAAAAATGGTCTTTGATCTTTCAAGCTGTTTAATGGCAGTCAGCGGGTGTTGCAGTTCATCAATCCAAAAGAAGTGAAATAAAGCGCATAAGGCTGCAGGGGGTGAACAAAGGCCTCCTGTTGCGAATCGATGCGTTTTTATTAGAAAAATATGCATATTCAAAACGTAATAATCACTTTAATCTAACTTGCGCCAACAGTTGTACACTGAAGCAGTTCCGGGAGGATGACGTATGAGTTCAGCGTTGCGCATGCGCCAGTGAGTCTCGTGAAAACCAACGTATGTTTACAGGAGCAAAAGAAGCGAAGTTTCCTTACTTTAGCAAACGAAAACCAGTCTCCTCTTGGCTTATATCGAAATCCTCCGACATTCTTCTTTACAAATCCTCGTTTTGTACTTCTAATTCATGACCGTTGTTTTTTTTTTATCTCTCCGCTGCGTTTCTGCATTTGTCACTTCTGAGCGGCACATGCGCAACGCCTACATCATCAGCCCGGAACTGCTTCCATGTACAACAGTGAGCGCAAGCTAGATTAAATTGTTTTAAACATGGTTATTTAAAAAAAAAAAACGCATCGATTCGCTACAGGAGGACTTTGTTCACCCCCCGGAGCCGTGTGAGGCACTTTGTATTATGAATGAATGCTTTTATTTCGCTTCTTTTGGACTGATGCACTGCAACACCCGCTGACTGCCATTAAACAGCTTGGAAGATCAAAGACCATTTTTAATATAACTCCGACTGGATTCGTCTGAAAGAAGAAAGTCATATACACCTAGGATGCCTTGAGGGGGGAGTAATTCATGGGCTAATTTAAATTTTTTGGGTGAACTAACACTTTAACGGCCAAAAAACTTTGCATTCCCATTGGCACTTTTATGGCATTGTTCTCTCACGCTAATTTCCTTTGTTTAGTAAAGGTGGCCCATGGACTTCAATGGATGGACTATAATCTAGGGATGCGCCGATACCCCAATTTTCTTATTGGGCCGATACCGATAACAGAAAAAATGAGCATTAATCGGCCGATACCGATATGTGGCCGATATATCGTGCACCCCTACTATAATCTTTGAGGTATCATATCTATTTTACGATTTCAATAAAAAATTTTAATTTGTGTTTTTACAGTCTTCTAGGTTTGGAACAACTCATTGGAGTGTCAGTAAATGATGACAGAATTTTTTGTGAACTATTCCTTGAAGATTAGAATTTTATAATGACAGCTGAGGGTGAAGGTGATGGATTGGCCAAGCATGGGCATCCTCAAACGGAAGGTTGAGGAGCGCAAGGTCTCTAACATCCACCAGCTCCGTGATGTCGTCATGGAGGAGTGGAAGAGGACTCCAGTGGCAACCTGTGAAGCTCTGGTGAACTCCATGCCCAAGAGGGTTAAGGCAGTGCTGGAAAATAATGGTGGCCACACAAAATATTGACACTTTGGGCCCAATTTGGACATTTTCACTTAGGGGTGTATTCACTTTTGTGGCCAGCGGTTTAGACATTAATGGCTGTGTGTTGAGGTATTTTGAGGGGACAGCAAATTTACACTGTTATACAAGCTGTACACTCACTACTTTACATTTTAGCAAAGTGTCATTTCTTCAGTGTTGTCACATGAAAAGATAAAATAAAATATTTACAAAAATGTGAGGGGTGTACTCCCTTCTGTGAGATACTGTATATGTACCGAATACTGTCTTTTCGTGATTTTCAGTCTGGCACATGTCCAGTGTGTCGTCACGTTCTGACCCCGGCAGTGAGCGAAACTGCATCTTCAAATACTGAACAAGAAACGGCGCCATCCGGTCACAGCGCGTCTGGGGGAACGTGTTGAACGTCAGTCATACACCCATCAAAACATCCCACAAAGAAACACTTCAATAATAAATAATCAGTCTCGCAAAGAAATGGCAAGCGGCGGCCCTGGACTAGCATTCAGATTCCATTTAACCTAGTGACTTGTGCTGCAATTCATGGTCCAAACGTGGCGAACTAAAACTTATTTTCTAAGAAAATATGAATACGTATATATTCATAGGAAGCATATTTATTCATGTTTCAATTACAATGTTTTTGTACATCCAAGCTAAACGTAATTACATGTCTTTAACTTTTCACGTCATGTCAAGTAATACTCCAATGCAATCCCTCAATTAAAGCTCACATTTGGTTCAAGTGATAATTTCTTTGCTCAATTCAGAGTGGCTTCCAGGTGCTTTCCACCCTGAACTCTCTCCAGATATCCATTCAGAGTTAATTCAGTTGCTAAGGCGCATTTTAATTCCAGATTTAAGTTCATGTAGCTGGATATGAATGATAATAGCTGTGCGATTATATTTCACTGTGGTTCATAAACATATTTGTATAAATCATCCAAATGATGGCCGCTGAATAGGTAGTTTTCACAAATGCACCTTCGGGAGCAATATGATTTCCAGAAGACTGTGTGCGAGAGGCTGACAGTCTGAACTGGAAAATATAATGGTGGGGGACTATAAATATGAAATGGCTTTGTGCTGTTTATTGCTAAGGCAATTGGCATGTATTCAGTGTCATGTTATTTAGAGGAGGCAGCTCGTATCTGTGGAGAAAAGCATCACTGCAGAATAATACTCCATGAAAGGCGCAGGTGTGCGGCCACCCAAATCACACATTATTGTGGACTTGATTTACTGGAATCTTGCAAACCAGACATATTATTTATGTATTTTTGAAAGACAATGTTAACCTGACTAACTCTTATGATTTATGTATAAACCTTCCAGCAGATTTCACTGGCTGAATGATCAGTGAGATGAACAGCTGTAGGCACTTTCCACAAATAGGGTGTAAATTGGTGTCCCAGTTTAGCAATAAAACACAATGGGTCTTATTCACTAATAATTATGTGGATTATTCATATCTATATGCACTGGAGAACTTCTCATGAAAAAATTCTACCTAATTAATGTATTTCATAATTCATATAATTTGAAATGTTCAGTAATTTGAATGAAGCACGCCCAACCCCTCTCCATATAAGGGCTTCCTGCACAACCTTTCCTTTACAGCTTTATATTTGTCTGCTTAAGTTATTTTTATTGGTGGCGTGTGTTTGTGTATGTGAAGATTCAGCTGATTTTTCAGACATTTAGAATAAATGTAAATGCGAAAGTTGATGAATTTATGAGAACATTCTTTTACGCAAATGTTATGCACAAAATCGTGTGTACCAATGTACTATAGAGAGGAAACTACTGGATAAGCTATATCTATATTATCTGTATTAGTGCTGTCAAATGATTAATCGCATCCAAAATAAATATTTTTCTTTTTACATAATATATGTGTACTGTGTATATTTATAATGTACACGGAACAAAATTATAAACACAACACTTTTGTTTTTGCCCCCATTTTTCATGAGCTGAACTCAAAGGTCTAAGACTTTTCCTATGTACACAAAAGGCCTATTTCTCTAAAATATTGTTCACAAATCTGTCTAAATCTGTGTTAGTGAGCACTTCTCCTTTGCCGAGATAATCCATCCACCTCACAGGTGTGGCATATCAAGATGCTGATTAGACAGTATGATTATTGCACAGGTGTGCCTTAGACTGGCCACAATAAAAGAACAGATTTAGACAGATTTGTGAACTATATTTAAGAGAAATAGGCCTTTTGTGTACATAGAAAAAGTCTTGTATCTTTGATTTCAGCTCATGAAAAATGGGGGCAAAAACAAGTGTTGCGTTTATAATTTTGTTCAGTGTATATATAAATACACACACATGCATGTATATATTTAAGAAAAATGTTACGTTTATAAAATATTTACATGTAAATACAATAGTAAATATTTTCAAAATATATGCTGTATGTGTGTCTTTATATATGCATAATAAATGTACACACATATATTATGTAAACAAAAACTTTTATTTTGGATATATAAAGACACATCAGTAAGCTAATTTAATTCTCAAATTTTTTTTGTCTGCATTCACCAACCATTCAACTCCGTGATCAAATTTATCACAAGAAAAAGGATTGTACAATTTATTTATTTATTTTTAAATTATGGGATTTATCTAGAAAAAGTATTCTTTCATTAAAGCTGCAGTCCGTAAGTTTTGTTTCTTTGTCGCCATCTCTGTTTGAAAACCTGCAATTGCAGCTGTTTGCTGAATTATCTAGCTTGCGTTGGTTGTGCTCCGGCTCGGCTCTAGCGCGGATGAACCTAATGTTTTGAGGAGTGTGTGTGTGTGGCAGTCAGTCACCACACCGGTGTGGATATTCACTGTACTTCGCAATCACAGATTCTAGCCTACGTCTTGGAATATATGACCCAAATAAGAATTTTCACTGGATATTGTCATCTGAACAAGTGACAAGTCTGCCACGTTTGTTCTGACCAACTGAGGAAAAAAAGCATTACAATAAATCGCGCTACCAACGGTGCTTTAATCTAAATTAGCTCATATCACATCAAACCGTGCAAATTATTATTATTGTTATACTTTATTCTCAAATTATTAATGTTAGCAACATCAGCATTGCGTGACTGAGTATAGTGTGCGTGTAGATTTCAATTTCTGCACAGTCTAATCTAATTGTCATACTATTCGAATTTCATATTAAGAAATTCTTTTAACCCAAAAAGCAAACTATGCTCCCTTCGAACTGGTTGTCTTTAAAATACAAATCTTTGTAATCCCAGGCTATCTGTAATCAGAAGCACATTTAAAACTGGAATATAATTTAATTCAATTCACATGCGTTTCATAAACACATAATCCTTTCTGGATTACAATCCGCCATCAAAATGATACATTGAATTATTCTAGCTGCTGTGAGAAAAGGCTATAAACGATGCGATAGCCTAGTAGCCGGGACAACTTCATGTTTACAGACGTGACGGTGACAATGAAGTAATGACATGGCAGCATGCTCGAATTTCCCGCGAAAACCTACCCGTACCACTCAAATTCCAAAACATTATTATAAACTAACCGTTGAGAATCAGGCTAAAGTAAAGCGATAGTTTTGAACACTGGCTGGTTATGTACTTGCTCAAATATTGATTTCGGATTATTTTTAACCCAAAAAAGTTACGGACTGCAGCTTTAATTAATTTTAATTCATCTATAAACCAACGCTCTAGCATACAACGAAACTAGCTTCAAGTTTGTATTTCTTTTAATAACTTTTGTTCGTTATTATTGTATTATTGCTAGAAAATAAGACCTTTCTTAAGACACGTTTTCCAGACATTTCCCCAAATTTCAGTAACAGGGTTAAAAAAAAATTTGCAAACATATTAAACAGACAGCTTATATAATATTTAGTTTGACCTCCTGAAGGTTAAGCACTTCCCTTTAAACAGTATTTTTTTGATTGAAAGCCCGTTGCACACACATCATCATTCAGTTGAGCTTTTCAATGCTCACTTTAGTATAGGGACCAATTCTCACCACAACTAGTTGCTTATTAACATGCCTATTATTAACACATTGGCCATTTATTAGTGCTTAGAAAGCACATATTCTGCATGACCATATTCTACATCCCTAATCCCACCCAATACCTAAACTTAACTACTATCTTAAGCAACAAATTATGAGTTTGAGGCAAAAGTTGTAATTAATGGTGAGAATTGGACTTTAAAATAAAGTGTGACCCTCACTTTTAATTCATTTCAAGCAGCAAATTCAAAGACTCAAAACTTTATTGCAAGTGTACAATATAAACAATGAGCAGACCTTGTTATAGTCGAATGTCCGTCAGAGAGGTGTTATGAGCAAACAGAAACGGATGAAAGAAAACAAGGAATCAAGCCTTCTAAATGTCAACCATTTCGATTTTCATATTTCCTCTTTCAGTTGGCAGGGGTGAAAAGCATTTGTTTGAAAATTAAACGTCCAGTGTTGCTTTTCTACTTTTTTTCATGGATCAATTCAAGACCGTTTTGAGTTGATCATTTCCTGAAACAGTAATTTTATGCCGTTTTATATTAGGAGATCATTTTAAAGCATAAAAAGGGCAAAAGTGCAATCAATACATTAAGTGTTTCCATCACAAAAATAAATAGTCCAGCACATGGAAGGAAGAATTGCCAATCCGAATGACAACAGAAACGTTTGCTTTAATAAAACATTCCTAACTTGAGCTCATTTTCAGAGTAATCGCTGCTCTAACAAAACAAGCCATTTTTCTGATGGAAGTTTACATGAGCACACAAAGAGAATCTAATGTCTCGGAGTAACACAGATTTCAATATAATGTGAGACACAATACTGGTGTTTGCTTTAATACACTGACAGTAGGAATTATAGTGAATGGTACACAAAAAAAAGCAAAAGATTAAAATGCTAGAATATTACAGTATTTCAAACAACACACTATAGGGATAATTGCTTTGATGTTAAAAAAAAACTAAACCCAGAAGAGCTCACTCACCAGTAGTTTAATTGATGTAAGCTCAGCTTCACCAAAAAAATAAAAATAATAATAATTTGATCTGAACCCACTGGCGAATCATGCAAGGATACAAATCCAAACTATTATACAGTAGCTTTGTGTAAACTGTCACCAGTTTTGCATGATTGGGACATGCATTTTATTGCATGTCAAACTCCATTGACTTTTGGCTGCATTAGTGATGGCAACAACGTGAAGAGGGGACAAAAAAAGATTTTGCAGACTAGAAAAAAGCACAGTCAATGCTATGGGACCCTCTTTCCATATTCCAAATATTAGAGCAGTATTGATCTGGGTCTTCATCGTTACTATTATAGCTGAAAGTTGATGCATATTCCTGACAGACATCCACATTCTACTATTAGTTTTGCAGTGAAAAAACCAAACACCTAAAAAATTACATTACTGAATCTACAAAGTAGTATTTACAAAATACAAAAGGAATGCTTTGATAGAGTAAACCTTGAAGAAACCACTATTCCATTTTTGTGGAAATGGAATGACAAATGTATGTGACTCGGGAACAAGATGTTGCTACTGTGGAGCTCGGGTACATAAGCATGGAAAGAAAATGGCACTTGACAAAAATGGCAGGAAACAACCTGGGAAATTCTTAATACAAAACACATCATTTTCTAACCAAACCTGTAATGCTTCTGTAGGTAAATGCATCTATTAGGACTCGAGGGTTGTTTGCTTGAGAAAACCTGATCGTAAAATAGCACAAACCACAAGAACATCATCACAATCCAAGACAATGGCATAGATCCAAATAAACATGCTTTTGACTGGCTTTGGTTGCTGGTTAAAAGAAGAAAAAAAAAAACAGAGATCCCCCAACATAACAAAACACAGTCAGTTTTGGACAGAGCTTTTGGTGACGTCTAATATGCTACATGGCAACATTGTAAATGTAAAGAGATTAACTACTCATTTTCAACTGTCAAAATTAGTATGATTTTCTTTGTTTCTAACTGATGTTTTGAAGGCAATCTGCTCTTTTACATACATTGAAAGTTACTAGTCAAGCTACAAAAAGTATCAGAAAAGCAGTCTCTTTGACATGACATGTGTCGCTCTGTGTGACAGAAAGAAATTACATTTAAGTTATTCACCGAAAATCTTCCACATTTTAATTTGATGCATCATATTTACTTGTGACAATGAATGGGTTTTCGGCATCATTAAAAGTGTTGTCGCACCTTCGAATTATGTATCTAAATATGTACAAACCACAAACGAGAACTGAGAGCTACAGTGGAGCGAAAGATTTTCAGTGAACGACAACTTATGTCCTTAGCAGATTTGACCTATAGACCACTTTTATGATATTTTCTGGTGCTTTTTGAAGCGCAAGGGCTCCGGTATGGAAAAGAGCAGCATGAACATTATAGTAAATTTCTTCTTTTGTGTTCTACTGAAGAAACTCAAATCATAAAGCAATCGGAAAGGCATGGGGGTGAGCAAATTATAACAGTTGACTTTTTTTTAATTTTTATTCTGAACTATCACTTTAAACATCAAATGGCATAAACCATGAAGAGGTGTGAGGTTGAAGTATTTGGAGACTTGGAAGAAATCTGCAAACTAGATTGATGCGTCCATGCAAGCAGCCTGGCAGAATCGCTGGATTTTACATCAAGGCCACCTGACTGTAGTATACTGTACTATTTTTGTTGTTCTAAATTGCACTTAGGTAAATCTATGCATTTGGTCTCATTGCTTGAGTGCTGAAACGCTGGAACGTCACTCAATGAACGTCTTAAGGATGTGACGTGTTATTTTGTGACTGACAAACATGTCTTTTTTTTCCCCACACAAAAGGTCCTATTACTCCAGTAACATAAAAATGGCATAAAATGGCTTGACTGTAAAACTCCCCAAACCATTAGGTTTTAGGACTTAAAAAAAAAAGAATGCGCAATATTGTTATTGGGTGGACAAAAACAGTCCATCTTCACACATTAATTTCCATATTGTAAAGGGATAGTTTGTCATCATTTATTCACCCACGTCCTTCCAAACCAGCATGACTTTTTCTTTCCTCTGGAGGACACATTTTGAAGAATGTTTTGTCTATATAATGAAAGTGAATCGAGTATAAAACACATTGGACCCAACTAACCCTCAATGATTGGACCAAAAACACTTTTCAAAATCAAAATATTTCAGAGAAGAACGAAACGTTCTGCCGTTTTGGAACTACATAAGGGTGAGCAAATGATGACAGAATTTCATTTTTGGGTGAACAACCCCCCTTGTGGGGGGAAATCTGCATAATTTTGACATCAGAGCAAAGCTGAGACCTCTCTCCATGCTAATGGCTCAAAACAGCTGGTGCATAGGCAGTTCACACAGTGATAATGTGACGGAGTACTCTTTAGTACAATAATAGCATGTCATTTCGAGGGCGAAACATTCATTGCGTTTCTCTCTGCAGATTAGGGATCACCTGGATGTGAAGTATGAGTTTGGCCTTCCAGCCATTTCCTCATTAAAGGCTATTTTTTCTTGACAGAGGCCAGTTCTTTCTGAATGTCGACAAATTTGGGTCGATTCTCAGGCTTGTACTCCCAACATCTCTGCATGATCCTGTACACCTCATCTGGACACTTCTGCGGGCAGGACATTCTGCAACCTGCATTACACACAAACCAACTTTCTGTCAGGGTTGATTCTAAATCAATAATTGACAGTGGGTATATGTTGACAGGATTATTAAAAGGCTAACAGAGATTGCAGGTGTTGTACATTCTGTGCAGTACCTACTTTAAAAGAAAAAAATGTGAAATAGTATCCAGTTATTACAGAAATGTCAATTTTTAAATAATTTAATTTCATTAATAATTATGGATTTATTATACCATTTATTAATTAAAATGTAAAGATAAAAAAGTAATAAAATCTAAAAATAAATCAAATGTGATCAAACAAAAATGAAATGAAATCATTCAATTCATTAATTTAAATATCACATCAATCTGTCTGGATCGTTTACTAAGAATGGAGTTGTTTTGTACCTTTTTCGACCTGTTCTCGTGCCTGCTGGTTGGTCATGCATGGGTAAGGACACACTCCTAGACTGAAGGTTTCCCACAGGAGGATCCCATAACTCCACACATCACTCTCTGAGCTGTATCTCCCTGGGATTTAAACAACATGTCAATCATCAGTCTGGATCTAACGTTAGAACTGACTGCTCGAAGAGCACAAATCAAGTACTTGAGTGAAAGTACAGAAGTACTTCTTTTGAATGTACTTAAGTGTTAAAAGTAAAAAGAACTTCTAGGTCACAAGTGTACAAACAAATAACTAAATACACCACCAAATATTAAGACAAAAGAAAATGTGTGTAAATTGTATGGTGACAAATACTAAACATACAATATAAAAAAAGAGGCAAAATGTGTTACTAGTTTTCTATCATTTGAAACTGTTACAGCAGTGGGGAAGATACATGGCCATTAATTGGTGTTATTTTAACGCTATCCACATTCAATGAGAGTAATGATCTAAATATGATAATCAATTACAACAATCAATTTAATAATCAGCATTAGTAGCCTACTGTTAATGCCATCAGTCACATACACAAGCTCCCAGGATCTCCCGGTTCTTGGCACATTTTGAGTCGGACGTGAGGACTCGCTCTGACCGGATCATTGATTCAGTGAGTTTTTGAAGAATGTGGGTAACCAAACAGTTTCTGGTCCCCACTGACTTCCATAGTTTTTAAATAAATATATATAATATATATATATATATATATATACACACATATACACACACACTGTAGAAGTCAATGGGGACCAGAAACTGTTTGGTTACCCACATTCTTTCAAATATCTTCTTTTGTGTTCATTAGAAGAAAGAAACATTTACAGGTTTAGAACAACTCAATCACTTCACACCTATTATTTGTAAACAGGATCATTTTATTAAGTGGTGGAAGTAGCTCAAACATTTCTGATTTGTAGTGACAGTCATGGTCCTCTTCGCTGCGATGACTTCAGCACTGAGCACGGAGCTTTTCTGCTTTTGTCTGGTTTGCAGTTAGAGCACCTGTAAGTGATGTAAAAAGTTTTGAGCATGTCTAGCAACCCAAGCTATTTTAAAGGGGTCATATGATGTTGCATTATTTGGTGTATTTGGTGTAATGATGTGTGTTTATATGGTTTAAGGTTTAAAAAAAACATATTGTACATTATTGTTTCTCCTCTATGCCCCACCTTTCTGAAATGCGTCAATTTTTAAAAAGCTCATCTGTCTGAAAAGCGAGGTGTGCTGTGATTGGCCAATTATCCAGTGCGTTGTGATTGGCTGAATACCTCAAGCGTGTGACGGAAATGTTACACCCCTTACCATACTGTGATGCCGTGTCCTGGCACGATGAGACAAAAACATTCAAACCCCATTATAAACGAGGCATTCGTTGCATCCAGTGGGGACATAATTACGGATTATAGACTGCTATAATGAAAATACTGTCTTTTTACATGTTGCGTTTCGTGCCGCGTAAACGTAAAACCATGTCTGCATTTGTGATCGAAGAAACGACAAACAACAAGTGCTACTCTACACTGCTCAAAACTCGCATTTGAATCGTCGGTGGCAAATTCTTTAAATATAAAAAACTTACTTACAGTCTGTGAGTCAGAAGCGCCAGACTGTCCTTGCAAAGTTGGAACTGCCCCACTTTATAGACACATTTTTTTTGTCGCATTGTAGGCTAACGTTACTCTGCAGGTTCAGGAAACAGTCCTCCATAAAATGTGCTGCACACATCTGAATATTTGGGTTGAACTGTTCTGGAACAGTGTTGTAAATACAACATAACCACTGATTTCTAGTTGTGTCCTCTTTTGGAAGGCCAAACAAAGTAGTTTCACTTTCACAATGAAACACACAGCGTCACACATGGTGGGCTTGAGTAAGGAATGGCCGGCGGATTCGACGAAGAAGCATCCGGTGGGCTTGCGGCAACCACATGTGACGACCCTGGGCTGGACTCCGCTTCGTTCACGGTGAAAGCCGATCCGGTGATCCACAGCGCGAAGTTGATGTATTTCATTAGCGACCAGCACGGATCAGCTCTAGGCATAACGAAGCGGATATCGTCCTCTTTTGGAAGACCAAACAAAGTAGTTTCGCTTTCACAACGAAACACACAGCGTCTCCACAACATGGCGGCGGCAACAACAATACTACAGCGAGAATAAAAGTTACGCCTTCTTTCTTTGCGTGAACATTTGGGCGGCGTTATGCAAATCTTCCCACATAGTGACGTAGACATGTGGGGGGCGAGTTTAAACGAGGCGTTTTAGGAGGGCGTGGACAAGTCTTAACTTTTATAAAGAATATCTTTATATTTTATAAAGAATATTTGGGTTTGAGACTTTAGTCTTTGCAACTTTAGGGATCTTATCTATGCACGAACAGCTTTTTTTCAAGGAAAATTTGAAATTGCATCATATGACCCCTTTAAATGATCAAAAACGTCCTATCTCTATTATATTTTGTTATTACTATTTTTAATGAGTGCTATTGGTCATTGTTATGTCTGTTTGTGGGTTCTACATATATTTAACCAATGAAATGCATTCAAAAGAGCTTGTGACTAAAGCTTGTAATGCCATTGCCTCCATTGGTTTGAATAAGTACAGCGTGTACTTCTTTTCTTTACTCAAGAAACACGGTCTAATTTTTTGTGTGTTTGAAGACTGGAGAAGAGTCTTAGCATTTGCTGTCTAGTTGTAGTTGTTTACGTTTTAAATATCCTGTGCATAGCAGTTGATCTTTTATATCATGATTATTTTGGCCAAATGTATTAAACAAGAAAAAGCGAGCGCCCATATAGCTACAACAAATTTTATAACCTGTAAATCGATGAAAATGTAATGTGATTAATCTGCGGCTGTTCTAATGACCCCGTCGTCAAAAACCTAATTAACTCCATTTAAGCATGCTTTTCAGAAAATGTTAGGTGCAAGTGTCTGTTCATATATAAAGCCAAAATGCCAACTATGACGACGCATTGTTCAATTATTGGGGGGGAAAAAAACGTTCCCCCTTTCTATTTTTTTAAGTGCTTAGTGGTGTGCCGTGGGATTTTTACTTATCAAAACTGTACTGCGGCAGAAAAAAGGGTTGGGAAACACTGATCTAAGAGCAGCACAGACACCAAGAATGCTTTACCATAGTTCAGTGCTTCCGGTGCAGTCCACTTGATTGGGATCTGTTTCAGATCATGATTATTTTGGCCAAATGTATTAAACAAGAAAAAGCGAGCGCCCATATAGCTACAACAAATTTTATAACCTGTAAATCGATGAAAATGTAATGTGATTAATCTGCGGCTGTTCTAATGACCCCGTCGTCAAAAACCTAATTAACTCCATTTAAGCATGCTTTTCAGAAAATGTTAGGTGTAAGTGTCTGTTCATATATAAAGCCAAAATGCCAACTATGACGACGCATTGTTCAATTATTGGGGGGGGGGAAAACGTTCCCCCTTTCTATTTTTTTAAGTGCTTAGTGGTGTGCCGTGGGATTTTTACTTATCAAAACTGTACTGCGGCAGAAAAAAGGGTTGGGAAACACTGATCTAAGAGCAGCACAGACACCAAGAATGCTTTACCATAGTTCAGTGCTTCCGGTGCAGTCCACTTGATTGGGATCTGTTTCAGTCCTGATGAGGAGTAGATGCCATTGTCCTCCTGGCGGGACATCCCAAAATCACTGATCTTCAGCACATTGTTCTCTCCCACAAGGCAGTTGCGAGCAGCCAGATCTCTGCAAGATTTCAAGAAACACTAATACCACTTCATAAACAATACAACACATGCACTCTCAGCTTACAATCATGACTGTGATTGGACAATTCACACCTGCCAACAACTATTGCCAACAAAATGATTGTGGAGCAAGCAGTCTAGATCCCCAATTATCCTGTGATTACACTTATGAACACCCCCAGTCTGGAAAAAGTGCCCAATGCAAAAAACATCATCTGCCTTCTGCTGTCAAAAATATCCAAGTATTCTCATGTCTAACTGTTCTACAAAACTTCAGATTAAAAAAAAAAGTGTTATGCAGCCATGTACTTTCTGGGACTGGATCAGTTTGGAACTTGTTGAAATATTGTTACATCACAAATGAGATTTTGGACAAGCCGTGATGTTTCTGGCCAAGTGTGAAAGCTCATTTAAAGAGTTATGCCCCCCAAACTGAATTTTTTAATAATAATTGATTTACTCTCACGTCATCCCAATATATGATCTTCTTTCTTCAGATGAACAGTTCATGACTGTACTCCATATGACCCTAATGGATGACTGAATGTCTTCTTAAGCAAAACGATAGGTATGTGCAAGAAAACCACTAATATTTAAAAAATAAAAATCAGTATAAACCACAGCACGGTGGATCTACTTTTGGGTTACAATCCACATGCATTATATGGAGTTTTTTTCTTCTTCTAAAAATCTACATCTATAGCGCACAATAGTTTCAGGCTCGTTTCATTTATAGACGTGTTATAAGCAGTGTTGGGCAGTAACTAGTTACTAGTAACGCATTACAGTAATAATATTACTTTCCCTGGTAACTAGTAGTGTAACTAATTACTAATAAAATTTAAGTAATAATATTAGTTACCATACAAAAAAATGGCTAGTTTCTAGTTACTTTTTTTGTCACAATCACAAACTGAATTGAATTAAAAAATTCAGTCATCTCTATCAATTTTCATAATCGCTGTCGTGCGTGTATGAACGTGACATCACCAATGCAGCAAGCAAGCTTTGTCGGAAGAAGGAGAAGGCCACATCATATGGCAGCAGGAAATACAGCCATTATTTTAATTTTGTAGAGAGAAAGGATGATGAACATCAGTGGTACTAAGACTTTGTCTACTGTGAATCCCACTGTGAAGCCCAATATTTTGGATTTATTTACTTTTTCTAATTTGTTGTCTTATCTAACATGTTGACAATTATGTTGCTGGATGAAAAGGAATAAATAATATGAAATGTAATACCATTAATTAAATATTTAAAAAGGTTGTGCAATCCCTGCTTATTAAGAAATGTGTTTCCAGACATAATTATGCATGCTTTTCAGGTGCTGCATTTAGATATATATTTTGAGACACTATTTAAAAATGTTTGAAATGTTAAATGCTTTATCAGAGCTGTATCTTTCTCGCTATGATCTGATTTCATCCTCTTACCCCTCACGATCCGCAGAATGGTACCGCTACAGCAGTCTGTCACGCCACATTTAAATGCGTCAAAATGGCATTTATTGTTTGGATTTTGTGATAAAATGTACAGGATTTGAAAGCTGACACTTTGTTTTTTATCAGAAGTAGCAAAGCACAAAGCTCGTTGTGATAATTGGATTGGATGTGCTTTACAAATAATGTTTTGTAAAGGGAAAATCACGTATCTGGCAACCCTGGCTTGAACTATGGGTGTTTCATAGGGTCAAACAGAACCCGTGTTAACGGTGCTGTAACGCATTATTATTGCTTTAACTGGACAGCCCTAAATTCAACACAAGAAACATTTTCTTCACACAAGTTGCTGTCTGACACGCTTTTCTGCCTCCTTTTGATTGACAAGAAATAATGAGCCCTGATCATCAGCTGCCATCAGATGGCTAATAGTGCAGATAATAGCTTTTATCAGCCAATAATCTGTATACATTGGAACGGTGCTGTAACGCATTATTATTGCTTTAACTGGACAGCCCTAAATTCAACACAAGAAACATTTTCTTCACACAAGTTGCTGTCTGACACACTTTTCTGCCGCCTTTTGATTGACAAGAAATAATGAGCCCTGATCATCAGCTGCCATCAGATGGCTAATAGTGCAGATAATTGCATCCCTAATTGTAGTATAGTAATTTTTCACTGTAATGCAGTGAAATGTTCACAAATATTGCATAAAATAGTCCATTTAAATTTAGATTTCACTATTTATAACTGTTTTTATCAATAATTTTCAGTAATAAATGGCTTGTAAGTTTCATAACTCCATTTTTTCCACATCATCCACCTTTTCTTAAGATTAATGTAATAGATTCTGGGCTTTCTGATAAATATAATATGACCAAAAAAAGAATGATATATAATTTAGATTGTACATTTTTTATACATTATGGTAGCATTTGTTGTACAGCATTTATGTTGATATAAATAAAACAATGAGTTTTTCACTGTAATAAAGTATATATTTGGTAGTCTATTGAAATTTAGACTACAAGAAAACATAAAATACTACATCAAGATTACAGTAAAGACAAACAGGAGGAAATTGTGGCTAATGGCCATGAAAAATAATATCACAAAAAATAATGTCCCACAAATGTCCTATAACAGGATGCTTTTTATATATAATATTACTTATTTTGTTTTTCTTCTGATTTTAATCTGACACGTTTTTGCTATGATGAGCTGTATCACTTCTACGTCTGAAACATTTCCGTTTTTCTCACCTGTGTATACAGTTCTTTAGCTCCAGGTATGCCATTCCGGCAGCAGCGTCTAATGCAAACTTTACCAGTTGCTTTGTCTTGAGGTCCTCTTTTTTCTTTCTTAAGAATGATAAAAAGTCCCCGCCTGTTGAAAAATGGCAAAATAAATGAGCTACCGATATGCAATAAATTACAAGAGACACCAACATCCCCAACAAATTTATGACACTTTTAATGAGGAAGGGTTTCAGCAGCTAATGGCTGTAGCAAAGATGCAGTTTACTGACCTGGTACGAGCTCCATTACTATGTAAATGGGCTGCCGTTGGGTACAGACGCCTATTAACTTCACAATGTTGGGGTGATCATACTGCTTCAGGATCCTAGATGTGGAGTTGAGCAGAAATGAATATGGAAATGACCACATTATTTCATCACTCATTTTTGGGAGAATATGAACATTATTTCTTGATGTTTGAGGAATGAGATAAAGAGCAAGTGTGACGTAAAGCGTAAAACGGTAAATGTGGGTTCACCTGGCTTCTGAGAGGAACTTTATCTTGAGGTCTTGTGGTAGATCTTCCTTACAAGTTTTCACGGCCACCAGGGTTTTATCTCGCAGCGTTCCTCTAAAAACCTCACCAAAATTTCCCTAAAACAACATTTGTCCAAAAACATTTCTTAATGTTATTATTTTAAATAACAAAAACACCAAAAAGAAACACCTTAACATGGCTTTCTGGACATACATCATAGTAGTAGTACTTGCAAATGGTTCATGACAGATGGCTAATTGTCCAAAAAACTACTTAAAGTCGACTAATTTAAACAAACTAGTCACTTGTGAAAATATGAAAATATGTCCTACCCCACAGTTTTTTTTTTTCATTTGCCATGCAAATTATGACCCATGATGAGTTAGTATGTTATTTATTCAGAGTATACACTAGTGTTGAAATGTTTGGGGTTGGTAAGATTTCTTTTATGTTTTTAAATTAAGTCTCTTACACTCACCAAGGCTGCATTTATTTTATCAAAACAAAAACGGTAATATTGTGAAATATTACAACAAATAAAACCGTTTTCTTTTTAAATACATTTTAAAATGTATTGTAAATGCATTTTAAAATTCAGAACTTATTCTAATATTGTGATTTGCTGCTGAAGAAACATTTCTAGTTAGTATCCATGCTGATAACTGTTTTGTATTTTTGTATATTTTTGTTGAAACGTGATTTTTTTTCCTTTTTTTTCAGGATTCTTGGAAGAGTATAATGTTCAAAAGAACAACATTTATTTAAAATAGAAACCTTTTGTAACATTTTAAATGTCTTTAGTGTCACTTTCGATATTTTTGATTAATTTTAAGCATCCTTGCTGAATAAAACTATTCATTTATTTTTAAAAAAGGGGGTATTTTAAACGTTCCTAAACACAAGCACAATGGATATGGACTTACTTTCCCAAGGAGTTCTCCAAGAATGACGTCCTCATGATTGAGAATCCATTTCTTATCCTGAGCAAACAAACAAAAATAGCAAATTATCTTTCTGACACTTTTTCATTAATGAACTAATGACTCATGCAGAGACAAACAGAAGAGAGATACAGAGCGTCCTGTGGGTCAGTCACTGTGCTACTGCTCTGATGAATGATAATGATGCAATTATCACCTCATTCTCCAAAAGCACTCGCTTAGACAAAGACATTCTGGGATATCTTTGGAATATCTCTAAAACCATTTTTTTGTATGAAAACTCTACTTTTATTTTATTTACATTATGCACAATTGTATTTGAGTACACTATAATGATAACAGCAATAAACAAAGAGGTATATGTACAAAGTCCATTTTGCAAATAATACCATCACAATTTCATTTCTAAAGGTGCAGCAGGAAGATTTTCCAGAATATTCCTTAAAAGCCATAAAAACACTTACTTTTAAATGCATGCATTTTTCTGTGATTTTCTTTCATTGTGTTTAATTGAACATTGACCCTAGCTGCTTTTACTGGCACAAATAGCGAATGTAGCGCTGTAGTCTTCGTTTGAGGGTTCGAAGAGGTTCAGACAATTAAAACACACATACAGATGAAAAAAATCGCTTTCTAAAATCTCAATGCATTTACAGCAGCACTAATGAGAATAGACATTTATTACAACACTGATAATGGCATCAGTTAAAGATCCATTATTCTAAACATCTTGAAGATGAGTGACCTGCTGTGTCAACATTAACCTGGACAATAATGCACTTCACTCAATATAATCCAAAACCGAACACAACAAAACAAGCAGCAGTATCTGCATCAAAACTGTATTTTCTGAGTTTTAGACAGCTTGCATTAGTTCTAATGCTGTCATTTCTGACTTTGTCTGTCTACTAAAGCTGCCCAAATTGACCAAAACGAACTTATTAATGGCTATAAAATAAACATTTATCATGCTGCTGCTGCCAAGATATCAAGGGGGGAAAAAACACAATTAGCTCCAAACCAAATCCTATTTGGTCTATTCTCTGCTACCAGTTACTCTTTAAGGGTCTTTACACGTTTTCTTTTTTTTAAAGAATCAAAGTCAGACCTCTTCAGTGGCTACGTTTACATGCAACCAAATAATCCGTTTGTAATCAGATTGACGGCTCAATCGGACTGAAAAGCCTTCATGTAAACACCTTAATCGATCCGATTGAGCTCGATCGGAATGAAATTTCGATCGGATTGAAGGGGGTGGTTTATTCCTTTTCTAATGCGATTGAGAGTGCATGTAAACACTTGATCGGATTGAACCCCGAAACTGAAAGGACTGCGCATGTGCAATGACGCAGAAATAGCGTAATGACGTATGACGCACGGAAAGAATGGCTCTTCCTTTTGAATAAAGTGTTGTATAAATGTGTGTCCTGTCATTATAAAACTCTCCTTTCACTCGGCAACTGTGAAGTGGAGCAGGACAACCTCCCACCAGTCCTTTTTTTGGATTCTCATCCACAGGCAACCTGTTTTGGGCGCTGGGAGGGGCGTTTTTACTGCGTGATAAATATGAGCAGCACGGCACAGCGGTTTATATGTATATTTATCCATAAATGCTGTTAAAAACAAATAAAGAAACCGTGTAGGAGAGTGGTTATTATGTGCAAACAGTGAGAAACTTTATATTTGTGCAGTGTGTGCACGTAAAAAAAATTTAAAAATTCTGATTTGAAGCTTGTGACAGATAAACGCGCACATCAACCCGATCACTTTATTTAGCGTTCATGTAAACACTACATTCAGATCCATCAATCGGAATGAATTCAGTCTGACTGAACTAAAAATTGTGCATGTAAACGTAGCCATCGACTTAAAAATGAACCCACTTCTCTTTGGATTCAAATTGTACATAAACTCATTGTAATAAGAGTTCAGTTTTCACTTATTTGGAACAAAGTCAAGTCAAATATTATTAGCAATAAACTTATTGCAAACATGAATAACAACAACATTATGATTATTATGCTGTTATATATTGTTTTTCTTAGTTTTCATAATGTTCCACACTCCAAATCTGCTAAAATGATTGTGTGCCAGGCACATGTATATGTATAATATATGTATAATAACCTATAATTATATAGCACCTTATAATGCATCGTACAATCTCATTAATAATTATAATCACAGTTAACACATTATAAAACTTGCCAATTCATTGTTACACTATGCATTTTAAATTCGGTTATAATTATGACAAGATATAATGAATTACAAATTATGAATAATTATAATGCATTATACCCTCTAAATGAGATTAATAAGCCTTTATGTAATGCATTATAAAGGGATATTAGGGCTCTAATATCCCTTTATAATGCATTACATAAAGGCTTTAAGTAAAGTGTTTCAGACCCCAGCATTCACAGGGGTCTGATAGTGTTTTTTGCATGCTGCAGCAGAAACATCACCACTATTATGATTTCAGTCAACATGCTCGGATGAGGTGCTTTACCCCCGTCATCAAACACCCATCAGAGGAACAGCATGGCAGGTAATCATCCGACCTGACGGATGCACACATAGACACACACGTCCTGGGGGAATCCAGCCAGTGTAGACCACCATCAAGAAAGGAGTTCAAACTGATATTTTCTAAACCATTACAATCTTTTTCAGTAGCCAAGCAGAAATCAACACATACACACACACATCAAATCAAAGGACTTTACATCAGCAAGACAGGTTGATTTGAGAACTGCACTGTACAACATCAATCTAATGTTCAATGTAGCTGCTCACGTTAGGGAAAATGAGCAATGTGCTGTCCAAATTTCTGTAATAAGGAATTTTATGGCTGCATATTGGAAATACAGTTATAGCTTTAGAAGTGAAGACATATTAAATGACTGTACTGAGAGCAGAACAGCTTGTCAAAATGAAAAGAGAGACAATGTTTCACCTTTATGACAGGGTTCAGGAGCACGACCCCAGATTTCTTGGTGATGACTTGCTTAGTTGTGTAATGATGCTCTATGAGCTGTGGGATGGTGGGGAAGCCAGTGCCTTCAAATCTGTACTGATTCTGCAAACAAAAAGAGGAAAATTAAATCAGACAGTATAGTGAGCTTATAAAATAAAATAAATACACTTAGTAGTGAGCTCATGAAATAAATAAAATACAAAATAGAAATTTTGGGCATTGTTGTATACATTTTTATTTATACTTTGCTATTGTTTTTTGGCAATAAAAATGTTTAGCAAAAAATATATATATATGTGTGTGTGTGTGTGTGTAAGCGATAATGCACGGGTAGATGTCATCAGTTACGGCACGTTAACTAGCATTCTGCCAGCTTCAAATCAGACACAGAGATAAGGTAGTGCAGTAAGATCACATTTATTTGAATAAATTATAGCATTTATTTGAATTAATTATCGAGAGTAAGAGAGATTAAAGTTGTGTGTGTTAGGGCTGCACGATTATGACAAAAATCATAATTGTCGATTATTCCCTTGAAATTGTAATTGCGATTATTAATTACGATTATCACAATTTACATTGAATGATGTTTATACCATTGTTTGATGCAACTGCATGCCGTATTTTTATATGAAAATAACCAAGCTGAAAACACTCTAAATAAAAAACCTTTAGTGCTTTTCTTTAGTATTAAGCCTCAAATGTCAAATATACATCGGATATGAATGGTATTATAATGTTATACTAAAACTAAAGCAATGGAAAAAAAACCTTAAGATAACATGTAGAAAGAAAAAGACAAACAATGAAGCTGTGAGTTTAGTTACTTCCCCATCCTTGCTGAGAAATACAGTGTAGCGATTCAGCATCAAAGCTATTTTATTAACAAAAGTCACGGGGCAGCGCTAACAAGAAGTTTCTGTGCTCCCGAATGTTTCTGTGTGCGAGTGATGTGTGTGTGTGCATCAATTAAAGCAACACATTTATATAGAACAGTGATTAAACTGACTTGGATCTACCTGTGCATTAAACGGTTTTAATGCACACCAGCCAATCAGAATCGAGTATTATAAATGTGTTACATAAATATATATAAGCCATCATTTTTAATGATTCCTTCTTCACTCATTGTTGAATCTACAAATATTCGGACAAAAAAATTATTTGGATGAATAATGACATTGTTTTGAGTCATCATGTACTCACTTCAGCAAACTGAATGATGAAATGTCTGCGCTGGCCATCTGAGAACACAGACAGCACATATTCTCCAGGTTTGCCGTGGCTCTCGCGCACCAGGAAGTCTCCCTGCTGCTTCAGCAGCTCCTGGGCCTCTGTCCTGGGAATGGCACCATGATACCACTCTTGCTCGCCCAGCGGTTTTTCACTAGTGGGTATCACATCAAAAAACTGAAGAGGAACAAACACAAGGAGGTCAAGGCAGAGAACATGACAGGACAGATAGAAATGAGGAGGTGATGATGGAAAAAGCAGGAGACTCGGTTATGAAACGTACTGATGAAGAGCCCAGTACAGACTTGGGCGAGCGGATGATTCCAGCGATGGAGTGTCTGAGGGTGTCAAACTTCGATACCTTGTCTTTGCTTTTATCCTGAAATATAATATATTTTTCAATGACTATGTTTTGCAGCACGTTCATTAAGCATAAAGAGTATAAAAAATAGATAGATAAACAGTAAATAAAATAGGTCAATGTAAATATCCAAAAATGTTTTTTGGACACGGTACAATGATAATACCCTATCTTTTAGACATACATCACAGTGATACAACGTTTTTGGACACTGTAATATGACAGATTCTCTATCACTGCAATATGGTAGTGCCAAAGGAGAAAAGTAAGAGTTTTGTAAGAGAAAAATCATACACTTAGTGTTGAAGTATATTTGGTTACATACATTTGAATAGAATTTAGCAGACACTTTTTAAAATAAGTTTCGTTTACAAATCCCTGCAGTGAAAGTATTCCTTTAAAACAGTCATAATAAATCATTCTGTGCATCAATGCACTAGTAAAAAAAGGCAGCAAAATAACTGGGAACACACTGCCCTCTTCAGCAAACTTCAACACCAGCAGCATGTCAAACCTTCATATTACACAACAAATATTAATAGTGTGCTGGGAAGTAGTTTAATAAGTCAAAATTACTGTTAGTAAAAACAAATTGTTGTATCTAAATGATTTTCACTGCACTGAAACAAATGCCTCGTATGTGTAAACATACCTGGCAATAAAAACTCATTCTGATAAAAAACTCATTCTGATTAAACAAATTTAAGAGCATATTATTCACTGGTACGTGTGGCAATTATTAACAGTTTTAAGTATTATGTTTTTTACAGACTACTAACCACATACATTCCAATTACAAAAGGAGATCTAGTATACTTTATAGTTTTTGTATATAATAATTAGAGTAAAAAATGTGGCACATTACAAAAATTTGATTATTAAAAAAGTTTATTACCACTTCGGTATGCTACTTTTTCTTTCTTTGTGTGCATGATTTTAATTTGCTCAGTTTTTGTTCATATGACCATGTTTTGTTATACAAATCTACATTTATACATTTAATGGCAGTACAATTTGGATTGTTAACAAATAATCCAACAGACCCCATACCTATGGGATGATATTAGGCTCAAAATAATTAATAGATGCACGCACAATTATCCATGTACTGCATACATTTTATACATGTATCTTACTAACCACAAACAAATACCTTTCTATTTGAGTCTGTGGAATTCAGGATTAAATGATTGTGCAGCGATTTTTACAAATACAGACATGTTTGCGAAAAAAAAAATTCTGTTCTGCATTAATATATCATAAATTGCTCATGCAAAAAGTAATCCATGCATATGTGGATCAGGTGACACGCGTGCATTAACTCATATCTCTTCTGAGTCGATTCTATTTGATTCATTTGGATTTTGAGACTTCATTTTCGCAGTTTACAGCATTTCACGACCCCCACACACACAACTACCAGCGAACAAGGCCCAGTGTAATTCATTAACATGTACACGAATTGAAAAATTTGCAAATGTGCGTCGCTACACTGAAACAAATGCTTTTCAACCGGTGTCTGCAGAGTTAAGAATTACATTAATGTGCAGCATTTTGTTCGAATAGAGACATATTTGTGAATACAAATGTTATAGTTTGTATTAAAGTATCATAATTTGTGCATGTAGCGACTAAAATGTGCATTTGTGGATCAGGCGACGCGCGTGCATTCACTCACATCTCTTCTGAGTCGATTCTATTTGATTCATTTGAATTTTGAGACTTTCATTCCGCCATTTCAGCCTTGCCCAATCCACACACACACAGCTCGAGATCCACACGCAGCTGAACCAAAGAAAATCAGCGACCACTAGATGCCATGAACCGAACAAGATCGACTCGAACTAGACGTCAATTAATGCACGCGTCACCTGATCCACATATGCATGGATTGCTTTTTGCATGAGCAATTTATGATATATTAATGCAGAACAGAACATTTTTATTCGCAAACATGTCTGTATTTGTACAAATCTCTGCACAATCATTTAATCCCGAATTCCACAGAATCAAATTGAAAGGCATTTGTTTGTGGTTAGTAAGATACATGTATAAAATGTATGCAGTACATGGATAATTGTGCGTACATCTATTAATCATTTTGAGTCTAATTTCATCCCATACATACCTAACAACTGGACTGGGTGCTGGGACGTCTGAACAACACCCAGGCCACTGGCTACTATAGCAGCAAGCACACCTTAGCCAGATAAAATTACTTTTATGGCCCAATGGAATTCAGAGAGTTAAATCTCATTTAATTCACTTTGAAACAGACACATACTGCCCATAGAAAATGACTTCTTTCATTAATCACAGACAAACCTTTCTATGAAAGAACATGCATATCTTCAGGACATTTTGTGTATTATTACTGGTTTTGTATATTGTCTTTTGTATTGTAGGCAATGCAAGTATCGTACATTTAACTAAACGAAACCGAGGTTTAGTATAAGCGATAGTTCCCTTTGTACAAAGGCGCTGGCGGTTCGGCTCAAGTGGTAAACGGACTGCTTTTTCATAGCCTCATTCCCTGGTTTCTAATGGTTTTATTAATTCACTTTTACTCCCTTTTCTCCCCAAGTATATATATGCTTGAGTGTGTATGCTTGTGTAGACTAGTTATGTGTTAGTGTCTTAGTTAATAAAACTTAATGAGTTTGTTTTCTGTGGTTACTGCTTGTACAGTCAATTTAACGAGCCGATCTTGCTACAAGCTCTAATGCATGAGTACTGTAAGAAAGTTATTTTCTATGGCCATGACAATAATCTTTCTTAGAGTTGATATGAAATTACACTGAATGTTTGCTGGACAAACAGATTAGTTGATTGTAATATTAATTCTGCTACGGTTACTACTGACAGTTGATATAAATAATTGTAATTATTGTAATTATTGTATTGTAATTTTCTTTCTGAGCAAATTAGCTACAGTGTAGAATATGAAAAATATTAGAATATTAGAAAAAGAATCATATTAGTTGGCATCATTCGTTTAGCAAATAGATGTTTTCTTCAGTTATTTTTACACGTAATTATGCCTTGTACAAGCTTCTGTTACATTCACTGTTCATCTATTGCTCTGTCATATATATTTTTTTATTTAATGGCACAGCGCACATTTAGAGCTGCTCTAGTGCAGCGGCACAATAATCAAGTGACGTTTTGCTGTAATAATGTAGGCAACCACTCATTATACATAACCATAAACATAACCATATAACAGTTAATATTTTTTTATGTAATTTAGTTTTAATCCAAATGACACGTGTGCTGAGCAGTGTTGGGCAGTAATGCATTACTTAGTAACGTGTTACTGTAATTTGATAACTTTTTTTAGTAACGGAGTAATTTAACGCATTATAATTTTCAAAATAGTAATTATAGAGTATAGTTAAAAGCCGAGGCCTTTATACGTTACTGCCGCGTTAAATTGCTGGCAGAATGCACTGATTTTTAATCTAGAGATTGTAAAAAGGATGTATGCTCATGCACTGTCGAGTCAAGTGCCAGTGAATTAGAGACCTGCTCTCCCGCGAGACCCGGTGCAACAGAGTGTGGCGCGGGACAAGACTTGATAGGCGAGTGCAGGTACTTGTGTGTGTGCGGGATGCGGGAGAATAAAATGATTCACGGGACTCCCGCGAAATAGAAATATCTAAACAAAAAATATCTAAAACAAATAAATTGTTATTCATCTATTGCACAAAAGCAACATGAACTAATATAAAATATAAACGATTAACAGGTGCAAGCGTATGCAGAGTTTCTATTTAGGCTATAACACGTGTTTGCAGCGTTGAGCAATGCAGTGCTGAAATTTGCGTGCTCACGAATCCTCTCATTATAACACACGAATTGTAGACATTATGAACGATTCATTATGCATATATTTATTGTGTTATAACAGAGATTTGTGATATTGCGATGAACTGAGATGTCTTTTAGAGATTATAAATGCAGCTCTTTGCTGGCATTCTGTCATGCCAAACCACGCACGCAGCAGCCGCTGGCTTTAGTTAAAAATAACAGTGTTCTGTGAATATTGATGCTTTAATAACAAATATTTATCGGGAGCGTGTATGCTGGGATTTCATAAATTTCTTGGAGAAAAACGTAACGTAATGTAACTAATTACTAATTACTTTTGAAATAAAGTAATCAGAACAGTAACGTGATTACTTTTAAAAGGAGTATTCAGAAATCAGTAATTTGATTACATTTTCAGAGTAACTTGCCCAACACTGGTGCTGAGTGAGCGATTAGCAACCATGCAACAGAATACTGAATTTAGGTTTAATATTCTTTTAATTATGTACATGTTCTCCATATACATACTTATCTATGATATCTCCATTCTGTTCTCTGCTTGTTCTGTTGTCAGTGTTTCTTTGTCTAGACATAAACACTGTACACATACTGTGTGGTACCAGTTTTCAGTACCAGGGCATTTTAATGACTACAAAGACACAAGCACAGGATCTGGCCTGATAACTGATATTTCTAATGTTTGCAATGCCCACTTTTGTCCTCAGCACTTTATGAAAGCCAGAAGCAAAAAGATTACCAGTCATTATATTGCAACTAATGATATGACCCCTTTAAATTGTAGGTTTATACATTTAAAGACAGCTGTGGCAGTTTTGACCTTGGATTTTGCACCAAGTGAAAGTCAATAGAGAATCGTCACAAACTCCTCTTCTGGGATATGATTAATATGAGCTCAAATGAGCAAGCACAGGGACAAGTCAAAAACCCGTTGGAAATAGTACACCATCTGGTCACCTTTGGCATACTATTTTCAACATTCTATAATTTGAGACACACAAATTCTAATCCTCCGTACTATTTACAAAAATGATAGTGTGCGATTTGGGATGCAGCTCCAAGAAGTGCCTTACCATTGAGTTGACTGAGCGGGCATCCTCTTCATAATTGACGACAGGCGGTGGTTCTTTGCCCTCATTTTCTTGCATCTTCTGTTCTAGTAGTTCTCTCTGTGCCATTAGTTTGGCCTCTGAACAGCGCAGCAGCTGGACCGTCTGTCTCAACTCCTCCAGAGACTGCTTCTGACTGAGTAACAACACCACACTGAAATAAAGAGAGATCATGCAGTTCAATCCACAATGAACGCTTCCTTTTAATCTCTTTTTAAAGATTTTTTTCTGAACGTTACATCAGAGGCAGAAGCACTGTCAAGGTTATTTCTTTTAACTATTTTACTCTAAACTGAAATGCAACCAATGAAACTACAAAATATACCAAAAATGTCTTTAATAAATGCATGCAAATAATTAGCAAAGTTCTTTTTTTATCCATTTTAACCATTTACACATTTATTTTGACAAAGCCCTTATCACACTGCACACAGAATTACAACAGAATGTCATAAATTAAAATTTTCAACCTGAGTTCAATTTGCTTTGCATAGCAAAAATTCAGATTTCTAAAAAGAGAGAAAAGTATCCTAGAAACAAATATGAAATATCATCCATGGCCAAGAAACATTTGTACAAACGTGAAAAAAATGGCATATGAAAGATTACGTCCATAAAGTGTGAGGAAATATAAATGACTGCATACACCAGCATAGAGTTTAGTTGGCTAAATTGTCATGGGGAAGTTCAGGTGTAGAGCTGAGCAGCACTGCCGCCCATTTGCAGAGGTGATTATATCAGCATCTCTTGTACTGGATTACCCAGCAGACCTTAAAAAATGTGCTGAAGCTGGACAAATCCTCATCTACCCAGCACAACAGCACAGTTCACTGAGCTGCATCAGTCCGAGCCCTTTCATCTTCACAGAGGTGCTGAGGTCAACACAGATCGGTCTGCTCAACCTAATGAATCTCTATGGAAACACTTGAGTTCTCCACACTTCACTGCTGCATTCATTGTTATAGTTAACACAGAGAGAACACTGAAGCAGGAATGACCATGAATGGAAATTCAGTCAAATAATGGTTTCAGTGAAAAAAGCCCCTGCTGCTTGACACTGTAGAACTCCTGAATTAAAAACACAACTAGTGTAAACTAACATTAGTAAAACAAGCATTACGAACATAGTGGCTGCTATTTCTCCTGTAATCAACACTAAACACAATTTAAGATCACAATATAAGATTTTGATTCTCAATGTTTTTGCATGAAAAAAGAAATATGATTTCAGTTTCTGAAAAGGGTTGAGTTGATAGCGATTTCACATTTATAACGTTAGTGTGTAATGTAGCTTTTGAGCATAAACAATATCTGCAAAGTTACGAAGATGAAAGTTCAATGCAAACGGAGATATCGTCTTTTAAAATTCTGGCGGTTTAATGCATACAAAAACGGCTTGTAGGGACTACAACAAGTTACTTCCCGGGTTTGTGACATCACAAACCCAGATAAACCCCACCCCCGGCAGCAAAGGGGGCGAGGCCATGCTGCGCTGCTTTAGAGAAGAGGAAGAGAAAACTAGGTGTACATGTAAAAATCTATTCATATATGAATTTCGATTCTGTCTTCTAACGATTCTAATGGATTCACAAGTTTCAAAATCAATGTTCTAAAGCAGCGGTTCTTAATACTGTTCCTCGCGTCCCCCTGCTCTGCATCTCGCTCTCTCATTCAGCTCAGCTCCAACAATGAACTGTTCCAATTATACACTTATTTTCACATAGCTATGAGAAGCGTTAAACATGGACGCGCGTGCAGTTGCCGTACTGTATTAAAGCTTTAATCAGGATAAAACCGTACATTAAAAGCTAACATAAGCAGTAGCATTTACAAATAACAGCATATCTAAAAGCATGAGACAACAACAAACAAAAAACATAGGCCTACCATTAAAAGCTGTGGTGCGCACTAGAGGCGGTTTAGCCAATCACAACACATTGGGCTAGCTAACCAATCAGAGCCCATCGCCTACGAAGGAAATGATCAGCACGTTTCTCAGAGAAGGGACAGAGCGGTGTGGAATAAAGGTAAATTATGTGAAAAATAATGCGTTTTTTTTAACTAAGCATTAACACATGTTAGACTGCACCCCATAAACACAATCAAGACTAGAAAAAAAACAGTGAACCACCCCTTTAATGCATTTCAGCGTTTAAATTGAAATTTGTTTCAATTTAATTTGTGGTTATCTTGTGGCCTCCTTAGTTGAGAACCACTGGTTTAGAGACAACACCCTGATTTGATATATTCTGTGTAAGGGTTAAAGGAGGTTCATTCTCTCACTCTGATTTCTGCTCATAGGTTTTGGTAGATTCCTCTAGTTTGTTCTCCAGGTCCAGCATGAGATCCTCTTTGCTGCGCAGACTCTGCTGGGTTAGGAGCAGCTCCTCTGAGGTGGACTTCAGCCTGAGATGAGTCAAGCACACATCTTTACTGTTATCTACCATATCAGGTCTACTACTTACGACTGGTAGTATAAAAAAAATAACTGCTTACTGAATATGGAGACTGTGGAAAAGGCTGAAACTCAGTAATGTAAACTAAAGCTATCAAGCATTATTACCAAACATAAGGATTGAAGCATTCATGCAAATCTTGCATCTAATTCCCAGCTCTTAAGTGACGCTGACTGAGAAATGAGCAACTCACATTGCTTGTAAACTGTCTGCTGTCAAATTATTCCACAGAATCTCATTTGCTTGAAGATTCTCCGTTTCTTCTAATAGCGTTGCATCAAATTCTACATTTGCTTCTTTGGCTTCTGGTGATCTGTTGAAAAGATCTCAGTGATATTTAACATTTCTGACAAAAATATATTTTAAATAATAAAAATATACTATTTACATTATTATTTAAAAATAAAAAGACTTTAATAGAAATGAATCACACCTATAACACATTATAATCAATTAGCATTTTTTTCTTCACAAGTGTCTTACTTATGAACTTCGATGAAGTTGTCATACTCTGACAGTGGATCGATTTGGTCGATGGAAGTGTGTATTTCTTTGTGGACCTTCACTATTTCATCTGTTAACAGGCTGGTGATTTCACTGTACTCCTCCAGAATCCCCTTACTAGAATAAAAAAAAAGAAAAAGAAAATTTAAATAATTGTTTGTATCCATTTATGAATGTACCATGTCATTGATATGAGTTAATCTACTTGGATTATTATTAACATCAGTGGTGCTTATTGAGCTCATACTTAAGGGAAGGGTTTTGAACAACCCTATCATTTTTCTGATTATGTAAACTAAAAATCTATTATTGATCATTTTTTAAATGAACTGACAGTTCAGCTAATCAGTGGTTCTGAATATACAACTTTTCTTTAACTTTAAGTCCAACATTGAAGAAACTTCTGCATGGTTGTCTGACCCACACTGAATGGTCATATATAATAGAGTGGTGCGTTCTAAATCAATCCCAGAAGGCTCTTGCAAATGGTTCCTTTGTGTGGATTAACCTCCACTACAGATTACCGCAAACTCTGTGATTAAAAAACAGCTTAAGAAAAGAAAAACCCCAAAGAGACTTCTGTTCTCCGCTAATCCTCTGACAGCTATGAGATATTGGATTGGGGCTACATCATGCAGTAAGGTTTTTAGTGTAGCTGCACTGATTGCGCAAGGTCTACAAGAAAATATTTTATTACACGTGGCGCTCCACAGCATTCACAACACCCAGACACAGTACAATCCAAAGACTACACTGCCCTCCACAGTTCAAGAGGAAGCTGTATTCTCCTGTCAATGCCTAAAAGCTTATTTGTACATTTAGAAGGCAAAACTCATTTAACTACAGATTATGCTAAATGATTATGTGCTTAAATTGTATACTGATATTAAATTGTGCAATACTTGCATATGGGTCAATATCACTGTAGGGTGCCTTTTGGTGTCCTGTACATAAATAACTCATTTGCCATGATAACATAAAAATGACTATAAAAGGGTGTGTTATATTAGGCTAAATTTTTTTTTGTTTTGTTTTGTGTAAGAGGAAGCGTGTTATTTTGCTATGTCCCATGCACTGCTCATTAAATTTGAATGATAGTAGAATATTGTCAAATCATAAAATTAAAAAAATTTGTTCTCCTATTAATATTTTGTTAAATAAGACATTACTCAATTTGAGTGTATTGATCATTTGGTAATAAAAACAATATTTTTTATTTAAAGCGGTGGTTCACTGGTTTTTTTCTAGGCTTGATTGTGTTTATGGGGTGCAGTCTGACATGTTTTAATGCTTCGTTTTTAAAAAACACATTATTTTTCACATAATTTACCTTTATTTCACACAGCTCTGTCCCTTCTCTGAGAAACGGGCTGATCATTTCCTTCTTTTATGAAGCCCCTCCCTCAGAAATAGGCGATGGGCTCTGATTGGTTAGCTAGCCCAGTGTGTTGTGATTGGCTAAACCGCCTCTAGTGGACGTCTAAGCGTCCCGCCCCTCACCTCAGCGGCATGTGCTCCGGTTGTATTGTAAACAATGGCGGCGTTAATATCGCTTATCAGTTTGAGCCCGATTGAGAAGCAGAGGATATTATTGAAGGATCGTGCAGAACCTGTGCAAGCACGACTTTTAATGTTAGGCCTATGTTTTTTGTTTGTTGTTGTCTCATACTTTTAGATATGCCGTTATTTGTAAATGCTACTGCTTATGTTAACTTTTAATATACAGTTTTATCCTGATTAAAGCTTTAATACAGTACGGCAACTGCACGATTGTTTTACGCTTCTCATAGCTAGAAAATAAGTGTATAATTGGAACAGTTCATTGTTGGAGCTGAACTGAATGAGAGAGAGAGAGAGAGAGAGAGATGCAGAGCACGAGGATGTGACTGCTTTAGAACATTGATTTTGAAACTTGTGAATCCATTAGAATCGTTAGAAGACAGAATCACGATTCATATAGGAATAGATTTTTACGTTAGGGGTTGAACGACTTATTTTTTTAAGTCTACTTTTATGTGATGAAAGTTGAGTCGAAGTCGACTAGTCGCTGATGACGCCATTAATGAACAAATAAGTCTGGAGCTGTGACAAGCACCTTGTGCACTGCTATGGCATATGACACAGTGCTGCCCACATGGCTGTTGCTCCTATAACAGCTTTTATATCGGTTCTTTTGTCTTTGGGTCGTTATATTTCTCATAGATTTCTGCTCATTCTAAATCAGATACAGATAAAGTAGCACAGTAAAGGATTACATTAATATGAATGCATTAGTGAAAGCGATTGCGTGTGTGAATTAATTCTACCTGGCAGCGTCTCTCTTCTAGTAGTGAAGCTGTGGAATTTAGTTATTAAGAAATATATGCTTGAACTTTTCAGTTTCTAAGCTATTTTATTGAGAAATCACAGAACAGTGTTGACAATACATTTCCGCGCTGAATGATTATGTGCACGTGATGTACGCCCTACTGTCTGTAGCCTATGTGTGTGTGTTACAGTGCAGCAGCGCATTAGATTAGAACGGCGATTAACGTACCTGTACAATAAACTGTTTAAAACGTGCAATCTCCCATTCAATTTCGAGCATCCAGTAATATAATCACACATGTCTTGTGGAGCGCTTTCAGAGTATGCATTTATTTGTCATTTGAACTGTTTGTTAAAGATTCCTTATCCTTTTCTTACCCTCTATAGGGCCAGCGACTTGTTTTACATTGCTAACAGAATGCAGTGATTTATAATCTAGAGATTGTAAAAAGGATGTAGCTCACGCACTGTCGAGTCAAGTGCCAGTGGATTAGAGACCTGCTCCCGCGAGACCCGGTGCAACAGAGTGTGGCGCAGGACAAGACTTGATAGGCGAGTGCAGACACTTGTGTGTTTTGCTGGCATTCTGCCATGCCAAACCATGCACGCAGCAGCCGCTGGCTTTAGTTAAAAATAACAGTGTTCTGTGAATGTTGATGCTTTAATAACAAATATTTATCGGGAGCGTGTATGCTGGGATTTCATAAATTTAATGGAGAAAAAAGTAATGTACTGTAACAAATTACTTTTGAAATAAAGTAATCAGAACAGTAACGTGATTACTTTTAAAAGGAGTAATCAGTAATCAGTAATTTGATTACATTTTCAGAGTAACTTGCCCAACACTGAACATTACACACTAACTAACGTTAAAAAAGTGAAATCGCAATGAACCACCCCTTTAATAATAAAAAGAAGAGTTTGTCCATGTCCCTTGAATGGTTGTCCACCCTGTCGTATTGGGGAATCCGCCCCTTTAAGAAAAGGATATCCCCTTTAGTGACATCAGGACAACAGATTTTTTGTCTCTTCAGTGGCGGGAATTTCAACGGCTGAGTAGGTGACTTTTCAATTGACAAGTTTTCTTCGTATGAGTTTGTTTGCTTGCTTTGCCAAAGCTTAGCATGTCCACCCTGTCTGCATAAAATATGCCAGAAGTGATTAGAATACAGTATTTTCAAAATATGCAAGTTTAAATATACCAAATTCTCTTCGACAACTAGACAAACTATTTAGCTAGTCACAGTTTATTGTGAATTGAAGCTCAAAATGTCCACCCTGTCGGCCAATTAGACTCGATAGGGTGGACATACACACGACAGGGTGGACATAGCATTCATTTGTAGTTAATATTGCTCAAAACTAAAATGAATGGGGGGGAGGGTATATCAATGTGACTGAGGATGTAATTATATTATTTATGATTATATACTTTTTTTTACAAGTTAAATTTCATTGTCATATTTTGTCATGCTTTGTGTGTTCTGCATTATGTGTCCACCCTGTCATGTGCTGGTCCACCCTGTCATCTTGATATTTTACAATAATATTTTAAATAATGATTCAATCAATGTTCAATAGCTAGGTGTGGGGGCAATAACATGCAAACAAAAAACTGCATCCAAATATCACAGTTTTCTCCAAACAAGAAAAAAATACATGTGCGAATTGTATGAGTTTCTTTAAAAACAAATGGTTTACATAAAATCCTTTATGTATTTATATTTTGAAAGCAAACAAATAACCCTGTTTAGGAAAGGGACATCATACCTTTCAGAAAATATAATTTGCATCTTAATTTTGCAATGAAAATGCATTTAACAGTAATATTCTGTATATGTCCATGACAGGGTGGATATATCTTATGGTTTATGCTTCGAATAACAGCCCATAATTATCTAAAAAACTAGTACTTGAGTGTCTACTATTTATGGCATGACATAAAGCAAATGGGAAATTAAAACCAAAATATTTTGAGTATTGTGAGGGTTGAAAGGCACTCTATAGTGATATTGACCCATATATGAACTACTGTTAAAAAAGTATTTTTTTAAATTAACTTTTATTAAGTAAGGAAGGACACATTAAATTGATCAAAAGTGACAGTAAATGCATTCATAATGATATAAAAAAATCATTTAAAATAGTTTTTTTTTTTTTTACATTCTATTAATCAAAGAATTCTAAAAACATTTTTATTAACATTGATAATAAGCAGCAATATTTCTTGAGCATCAAATCAGCATATTAGAATGATTAATAAAGTATCATGTGACACTGAAGACTGGAGTAATGGCTGCTGAAAATTCAGCTTTACCACCACATAAATGAACTGCATTTTAAAACATATTATAATAGAAAATAGTTGTTTTAATTTGTAATAATATTTCAAAATATTACTGAATTTACTGCATTTCTAAAATTCTTGATGAGCACAAGTCTAACCAACCCTAAACTTTTGAACGGTGGGGTAAGTTATATAGCTTTTTTTGCTAATGCTTACATTTGTTGGGACCCTGAAATGAAAATTCTAGGCTATTTTTATCATTATACCTGTATGATTTTGTCTAAATATAATTTATTACAAAAATGTGCAACCTAAACTGTACAGATAATATGTAATTATACTGGTTTAAGTTTCACAGATCTTAACTAGACATTTTTCTTCAGTTCAGTTCAACAGTTAAGTTCCTTCCTACATCTAGAAAAGTAGATCTACCTTAAAATGACCATTTCAATAACTTCACAGTTCAGTAACAATGTATGTTCTTTATAGTTTTACTTTCGAACCCTCTGGTACTTATAGAATTTAGTTTTAAGGTGCATTATGTTTCCTTTGTTTTTGAAAACTAATGGACAGACTGAAATGATTATCTGTGTTAATTGATATTTGGCTGATATGTACTGTGGACATCAACATTTTCATGTGCATTTATCCATTTGCCAGACACTTTTTAATCCAAAGAAAGCAACATACACTACATTCAACATATATGCATTTTATCAGTTCATTCATTCCCTGGGAATCAACACACATGTGCTACTGTTTGAGCTACAGGAATGCCTAGTGGAAAAACCCCAGAAGTGGAATCTGGACCACTCACAGTGCACTGATCATCTCCTCCTGCATCTTCTGCAGGGAGTCCAGCAGCAGAGGCAGTGCGGTCTCATGATAGTGCTCCTGATGCAGCCGTGCACTTTTCACCGCTAGCACATACTGGTTGTGCAGGTTATGCAGCTTCATGGTGGCTTTGTCGTAACGCTCACGGGCTTTTTCAGTCTCTTTGCCTGCAGGAGAAAGAAAAGTGGTTGTGCCGGTGAGATAAAAGGCGAAGTTCCCTGAACACCTGCTTGTGTTGTGCAAGCCTTTGAGAAATGCAGCTTTGTTATACAAGTAGTTGTAAATAATGGTCAACTGATATTGGTTTTTAATGCTCAACTCCAATTTGAACCCCTGAACCTGAGGGGGCACTAGGAGACCTTAGCATACTGCCAAGATGATTTAAAAAGATAGAAAATAAGATGAAACAAGCATTAAAATAAGCTCAAATAAAATAAAAATGTAAACTTGGAAAACCTAGATATAGGAGAGAATTATAAAAGCGGGATTTCTAGGCCTGAAAAAAGTCAAGTCAAGTAAAATGTGCCTATGTAACAGACAACACAAATGAATAATTGTGATGTTTCAAATTAATTACATAAGTGATAAAAAGCAGTTACAAACATTTTACAAAATACACATACTCATCCCTGCACCAACGAAATGTGCAATAATTTGCATTCATTTAACTTACACTGGTAAGTTTCTCAATATTCCAATAGTTCCAAAATGTGATAAATGATGGAACGCGCTTAGCTTTGAAGCAGTATTTGAATACTAATCCAATACATACTACAGATAGAGAGTGGATTAATTGTGCATTGAAGGGACAGTTCACCCAAAAATTTAAATTCTGTCATTAATTACTCACCCTCATGTCGTTCCAAACCTGTAAGACGTTCATCTTTGGAACACAAATTAAGATATTTTTTATGCTTTCTGAGAGCTTTCTGACCCTGCATAGACAGAAAGGATCCTTACACGACCAAGGCTCAGAAACTTAGCAAGGACATTGTTAAAATAATCCATTTTACTTTAGTGGTTCAACCGGAATTTTACGAAGCTATGAGAATACTTTTTGTACACAAAGAAAACAAAAATAACGACTTTATTCAACAATTTGTCTCCTCCGCATCACCCTGGCGCCATTTTGGAGTAAACAATGTATGCAACCTATGTACGCGGATACGTTGTTTACGTTCAGATTAAAACGTAAACAGCGTATCCGCATACGGTGTTGCTGACACAGAACAGCATACATTGTTTACGTATGTGATACTTTCCAAAATGGCGCTATAGGGTGACGCGGAGGAGACGAATTATTGAAAAGTTGTTATTTTTGTTTTCCTAGCACACAAAAATTATTCTCGTAGCTTCGTAAAAAATTAAGGTTGAACCACTGAAGTCAAATGGACTATTTTAACGATGTCCTTGCTACGTTTCTGAGCCTTGATCGTGTAAGGATCCTTGCTGTCTATGCAGGGTCAGAAAGCTCTCGGAATTCATCAAAAATATTTTAATTTGTGTTCTGAAGATGAACGAAGGTCTTACGGGTTTGGAACGACATGAGGGTGAGTAACTAATGACAGAATTTTCGTTTTTGAGTGAACTATCCCTTTAAGGACACTGAGCTTTGCCGTTTATCAGCCCTCAGCACACTTCCGGTCACTGAATGTGGATACTGGACCGACCCTGATTTAAACTTTTAAGCCTAAAACTTTTTCATATATTTGACTCAAGAAAAAGAATTGATTTGTAACAGTCATTTTGTTGTGAATCGGACATCACGACAAATCGAATATTTATTATTTGAAAGAATGAGCAGAGAATGAATAAACAGCTCACCTTTTACAACAGCCTCCTTGTATTTGTCTCTTGCTAACACAGCATCCTTAGTTAACTGCCTGTAGGTGCATTTCAACTTCTCAAGATCGCTTTTAGTTACCTGTGAGGGATAGAAGCCAAGTCAAAACTGATCCATCACACTGGTCCCGTTTAAACCTGGTATTACGATGCATTTTCAGTGATCCAATCACAAGTGGTCAGCTGAGACAAATGACCATGTACACCTGTTCTTCACATGAGTTTTAAATGTGACCACATGTGTTCGGATTTCGTCACACTCTACATCACTTTCACGAGATCACTGCATGCAACGCACAAATATGATTGAATAAATAAAGTAATTACTCTGCTTACGAGTGAGAAAGAACATGAATAATAATGCCGATTTCAATCATAATCTGTGTTTTTGTACAACATTACCAAGTAGCAATCGATTGTTTTGGTGCGCTTCATCAAAACACGTCCCATAACGATCACGTTAGGTCAGAGGGTGGCAAGTATAGGCAGCCTTTTGCGATTTTTCAAATACATTCAACTACATGAGTGTCTACCAGAGGTTGAACGTAACTAATTAAAAATACATTCATTACAGTACTCGAGTACATTTTTTAATTTTTTTCTACTTTCTTGAGTATAATTAAATTGTGGTACTTTTACTTTTAATTGAGTAAAATAAAACTAAAGTATTCAACTTCGCTACATTTATTTTTCACCAAAAGTACAAAAAAAAAACATTAGAAAAAGGAGCACCAATGGAGAAACAGAGCGAGCCGGCGTTTGATGGGCACTTTCAAACTTCTGGGGTGGAGCCCTCTGCTTCAGGCAATAACAGACAGGTCTGACTCGGGTGCAAAACCAATCAAAACTTCACTTTGGCGTTCAAACCACACTTTGCTTTGACTGTCAATCACCGGTGTTCTGTCGATTTGTGCTACCCTGTCAGATTTTGCTACCTCCCATTAAAACAGTGGGTAGTACAATTCAACAACGAAAAATGCTACCTGTAAAATTACGGTTTATTAACGTCTACACCTACCCCAACCCTAAACCTACCCCCTTACAGTAATGCAAATACAGTAATTATGTGTTATATTAGTGGTTGTAGCTAGAAGGGATACAGCTACAGGAAAACAATAAATAATTTTTTCTACCTATTAGATTGTTTTATTAACGTCTACACCTACCCCAACCCTAAACCTACCCTTACAGTAATGCAGATACAATCAATATTGTTGTTCAGCATGAGAAAAAGGACACCATATTAATGTGTGCATGCGCAGTAAACACTGGTAGGACAATCTGACGGGTAGAATAAAATGTCAGGACACCGGCGTTGTCGTTTTGAATCAGCATCATTAGCATTTCAATATTTTAGTGAATGTAAGCTATGCTCTGATTTTAAATCATAACTTTGTCAGCTCCTGAAATACCGTTGATATTACCAGAGCACACAGCAGTAAGTAAATAGAAAACTCGGTTGATAGAATTATTGCACGGATGGAGAAAGAACAATGTAAGTGTCTAAAATACATGCACATAGTTCAGTTGAATGGGAAAAATCGCCCTCTTTAACAGTGCAGTTAAACTAAATGTACGAAGCTAAAATAACCTCAACATTAACAACAACATTGAAATAAAAGCGCATGCATTTTACGTGCATCTGACTCACAGATCAACCATGATTTATCTGTCAATCAGATGCATTTTAGATCACTTTTTCTGTGTGCGTGCTTTGGATGTGTGTGCACATGGGCGAAGAAACAAGATAGTATATGTATGACCAGACGATTTATTCATATCCAAAACGAGACGATGTAAACATCTTGGAGCGCTAAACACTCTCATGCAGTGCATGTTTCATTCATACTCGAAGCTGGAGGGCGCTCTCGCGCAGAAAGTCCAAAATGGCCTCATAGAAGTAATATATAATAACCAACTTATGACATGCAGAAAATTCCTAATATGGACAAAGGCATCCCGATATGGCTGTAGCTAAAAAAAAAATAAATAAAAAAAGAGGTAATTTCAGGTCATTTGCAGGTAATAAATATAGTATATGAATAATGCAATGCTAATTGACATAACATTTATTACAGTATAGAAACTATTCTGCCTTATGTGTTTGAATAAACCAATCCTAAAATTGTCATTAGGAAAATACAGAAAAAAATTGCATACAAATGATTGGTTATCGTCCAGCAGTGTATTTGATTTCTTAGCCAATTAAAATACATAAGAAAAAATAAAGTCTGTCAATTAAACAAGTCAAAAAGTCCCCCTCATTTCTGAAATGATGGCTGCACGCCCCTATGTGTGCAGTACAGAAAACAGTGCCCGAGTCTTCTTGTGCTTGAATGGTTTAAGTCATTAAAATGTGCACAAAGGAATCGATAAGAGAAATCGAAATTTTTATTTTATAACAAGTAGATGATTCCTGCCCTTAAGCATCCCATTCCAGAATTGGAATAGATTTTGGATTCCCAAACCTAGGTATGGGTTAAAATGTTAAATAAAATGCTATTTTATTTTGTCCTACCGAATGTGTCCCTGGAGTCCACCTTTGTTATTATAACAAACTAGACTTTTGATGTGATTTTAAACCATTCAAGTCAAGAAGACTCATGGGCTGTTTTCTCTGTTGCACACACATCCTTGTGTAAGTGTTCTTTAACCTGTTGATTTTCATTCATAGTACTCAGCTATGAAATATTTTGCAATAAGATGATATCCAAGATTTTTTATTTTTTTTACCTTATTGGAATCAAAATTAGGAATTGACAAGAATTGGAATCATTAAAATTCAAACGATGCCCAACATCACCCTCACCCCACATTGTTTTTTACTGGCACCTTTCAATTCACACTGTTTTAGACCCTTTCTTTTCTTTTAAACCTTCACTTACCCTTCTTTGCTTTTGCCTACTTTTCAAAATTAGTTATAAAACAGTTGCTCCTGGCACCAGGGATAGGTAGTATGTTTGCTTAACATAGCATCAAACATGACAGTTTATGAGACTAATATCATGGTTTGCTCCAAAATCACTATATAACATCAGTCGTGTTTGAAACAGTTAGCTTTTGTGGTTCCATGTTGCTTCTTACCACAGTGAGACAGAAAATATTTTTTATAAAATTCTATACTGTAATGCAAGCCATTTCAATTAGCATTGCATTGCAATTGTGTGTTTATTGTCTTACACGTTTCATCAGGCAAAGCATCTCTATCTGCATGTTTTTCAGCTGTAGTGATATCTGATGCATTTGTCCAAATAAAGGATTTTCTGGGTCTCACGTGTGAAACAGACATTACAATACATGAGTGTTAGGGTTACCCCGCTCCATAATGCTCACATTAGGGCTGGACGATATGGCCAAAACTTATATCACGATATATTTCTTAATTTCAGTCGATACGATATAATTCCGATATCGATATGAACACTATTAAAAAATCCTCATAAAAACGGCCAAGAACGGCCACAACAGATGTCTGTACTTACAAACTTATGAAAAATTAATTTGCCAACTCTATGAAACCTACTCCTATAAAACTATATAATATTTTAGGAAAAAAATGGCGCAAATAAATAAATGTTCACCTTTTATTGGTATTTAGCCTTCATACAAACAAGAAATGTGAAATCACTGTCAAATAAATCTCAGACTCTCCTTATTAATATTAATATTTTTTTACTTCAAACTATAGGCTAACATACCAGTCAAAAGTTTTTGGAACAGTAAGATTTTTTATGTTTTTTAAAGAATTCTTTTCTGCTCACCAATCCTGCATTTATTTGATCCAAAATACAGCAAAAACAGTAACATTTTGAAATATTTTTACTATTTAAAATAACTGTTTTCTATTTGAAAATATAATTTATTCCTGTGATTTCAAAGCAGAGCTTTAGCATCATTACTCCAGTAACATGATCTTCAGAGATCATGCTAATATTCTGATTTGCTGCTAAAAAAACATTTATTATTATGATGCTGAAAACAGCCGAGTAGATCTTTTTCAGGTTTCTTTGATGAATAGAAAGTTCAGAAGAACAGCATTTATCTGAAATAGAAATCTTTTGTAACATTATAAATGTCTTTATCATCACTTTTGATCAATTTAAAACATCCTTGCTAAAT